TTATAATCTTACGTCCTTTTTAAATTGTATCCGGTTAATGACTTGTCCATCAACCGTCGTCCTCACTGATTTAGCAACGTAAAGGAGGATAGCTGATAAGCATGGTTTCCTTCAAGATGGGCTGTGCGCTTTAATGATATTTTTTTTGTACGAGTTTCGTTGCATCTCAATCGCCATATCTCATGAAAAAGAAATGTGCACCAATGTAGATTACAAAAACACTGGTACCGTATAAAAAAAATATTGTTAAGGTTAGTCTTTAGGACATTTTTCAACAAAACAACCAAATACTTGTAAACAGTATTTTTGAGACAAAGGGGACCTAAATGTTCTGCCTCTTCCATGAATTACTTAAGCCACGCTTAGTCCTTATTTGAGTTTCTACAACTCCTTAATGGCAGAATACATCCCAACTGTAAAAGGACGTAGAACAATAGGTTTCTGTTTCTGCCCAAAACCAGCTCGAGAATAACAGGTGCTTGTACTTAAAACCACTTTAAGCTATGTTTTTACCAGGATGTGAAAACTTGTTTACTCATTCACAAGTGTGCAGCTCAAATGAAGTTTTAACTATGGTAAATGCAGCTTGAATTTTTTGAAATGATAGTTTGAAGTCATGGGTACTTAATTTACTCGGAAGGTCCAGCCGACGGGTCAACTTCAGTGAAAAATATTCGATGATCGCACAAACAAACATTGTCTTCTAGAGAAGTGAACATAATACTTTTTCTTGCACGAAAACTAATGAAAAAACATTCAGTATTATGTTTACTTGTGCGAAAAATAAAGGCAACATTATTATTCATTAGAAAAAGGTTACTTGTGGTTATCATGTTAAAACTTACAACTTCTATCCTTTCGCAGAAAACTCTCTCCCTGGGAAACGAACTCTAAGAGACTGAGGTGTCCAAAATCTTTCCCATCCACCCTTGCTACCAATCCAGTCCCCGAGCTGTGTTAAAGTGCTAGCCTGGACGTTAAGCTTCCTGCGCTTGAAGGCGAGTTAGGCCCACTCTCAAGCAAAAACCTAGGGATCAAGTGTTAATGGTGTTTAATGCACCCAATGCAAAACAGAGCGTAACAAAATTGAGCAAACCTAAGAAATCCCGTTTGACTTAACAACACACTCCGATTAACCTACCATGAATTGCGTTCTGGCTGGATTTTGATTCACCAAGGTGGACAAGTTTGATGTACCATGTAAGCAATGCCTGATGTGTTGAGGAGGCTTCATATCCCGTGATTTGCTGCAAGCCATACCTGAACGGTTAATTTTAATAGTATGGCATCATTATGAAATCAGAATTCCTATACTAATATAACCAGCCTTGTTTTTATCTCTCTTAAAATTCCTTGTGCCGGCTTGTATGGGGCCCGTATAGCTTAACGTTTGAGGATTATTTCGTAAAAAAACGTCCACCTCTGTCAAATTGTCTGGGCTTTGTTTCCCAACACTAACCTCCCAATTATTGGTTGATCTTACTTGTACAACTGAATACTAACAGCAAGGGAAGGCTTTCCTATCTACCACGCGCTATGCAAGTAAACAATGCTTTTTATTTGTCTCTTTTCTCTACTTGCTACGTAAGCACACGATACCAAGAAGCATGAGTAATTCCTAGCGGTGGTGATGATCGTTACGAACAATAATTTTTTTTTTGCGTCAAGCCAATAATTCTTGTCGCATCGATGAAAGGAACGTTTGAAATATCAGGGCATCTGCATACTACCACCTGATAGACTGGGTGTATCGCCCTCAGTTTCGATTCCAGGCGAACCGATCTTGTTTATGATTCTTTATGATTACGTTCTTAAGATGCCTGATGCCTTTTTGCCAATAGTGTATCAGTCCAGCGACGTCCTCCAGAAGATGATAATCTGTCAGTTCGGGCGTTGGATACAGATCACAGCAAAGAACGAACATCTCAACAGTTGACTCAAATTCCACTTTCAAGGGCTAAAATGAAAGGAATGTCGCGAGTTTTTTCTCTTTTTTTATCTCAGATATCTTGGTGAATGTCTTGTCAGGTACTTAGACCCTATCCATCCTTAGTAGGGTTAGGGTCTGGTAGCTCGCGTGACGTTCGCGCGCCGTCGGTTTTCGAATGTCACGTGAGCTGGTGCTTAGTCATGCAACACTTTAAATCACAATTCTTCCGCCTGTGTCCGCCATGTTGGTCGGCCAACAAGCATTAGTGAAACTCTACATCATTTTCGCGCTACAGAAGACCCATATATTCGGAGAATATGTCTTAAATCGATTATTGTGACCTTATATTTGATGTAAGTACGAAAATTGGCCTAAACCAATGAGAAAGATTGGTTTTTATGTGTAGAAAGCAGATCTCAAAAGACAGTGGAAGAACCACTCAAAATGCACTCGGATTATTTGAAGAACTTGAGAAACAGTATAACCTCGGAATCGATCGGTTAGGAATTTTGAGACAGATTTTGAAACAGTTGAAGAAGTGATCCATACTCAAGAAGGTGGAAGGGTTTGAGATCAAGAGAAAAGGTGACCAATTAATGCTAGTCATATTTGTTTTGAAATTTAGCGAAGGAAATTTGAAAGGCCGAAAGTGCCTTTTAGCCTGAGAAGTTCAGTTTAAGGCTCACAGCTTCTTCACTGATTGCAAAGAAAATGATTTCTTGTTAAGAGGGATTATGTATTAATTTGATAATTTCATTTTGGATTTTCTTATTTTTGAATTTATTTTTCTGATTTGTAATAATTCAGTTATGAGAAATTAATCTGTGGCCCAAATTCTCACGACAAACGTGCAATCACACTGGTTTGTGCACACTATTTATATTCTCCTACTCACCAGTAATCTGGTCTTGTAATCAATCAACCCAAATCGCCTGTCATATTTCTGTACTTCCATCACAAACCTATCAATGTAACAGACATGGTTTGATGCTACTCTGGTTTAAAGATTTAATGAATGTAACCAAAGAAGTTATAATATATAGACCCAACGTTTTGACTCTCCTGTCTAGTGCCTTCATCAGGGTTGATCTAATTGCTGCAACAAGAGGTCCTTTTATACAATCACTGATTAGCTGCCTTTTTTCTGATGAGGTATAAATAGGCTTCAGTTACTATGCCAAGCTTCCAAACAAAGGCTCCGGTGGTAACACCGATTAGTGATGATAATTTTAGACTTATCCCACCCAATTATATGGTTAGTTAGGCATGTGTGCTCCGATAAAACTCAATTTTTCTTTTTTGCAAAAGAAAATCGCTTTTTGATGCTCTTTCAAATGTGTACCAAACCGATGTTTGGTCTGTCTGCTTGAACATGAAAAGGATAGACATTTGCCCTTTCTTGATTCAAATTTTTCCAGAAGGTTTCAAGGGAATTTAGAGACAAGTGTCTATTGTAAACCTACCCACATGGGCAAATACCATGCTTTCGATTCTCACCACCCTATTTTCTATAAAAAGTCTGTGGCCAAAACTTTTCTCAGGAGTGCTGACTGTCTACCATCTTCACTTGATTTGAAGGCTGAGGAGAGGAAATATGTTTCTAATGTCTTAAAAGCAAATGGCTATACAAAACTTATCCCTTCTTAGGGTTCACCTATCGTGTCAAGAATAAAGACTTTGAAGACTGGTTTTTAGTTTATAGTGATAGAGTTGGAGGAAAGTAGTTTTCAAAAGCTATGATCCACTGAATACAAGGATTTTTTCTGGCTTTTCACTGACATTTTTTCTGCTCCAATTGTGACTTTAACATGTTGAGCTGTAAAAGGGGAAAGAAATTGTCAAGACAGCCTGAAGGGGCTGGGTGGATGGTACCTATAGTACAATTGATGAGGAATGGTTTGATACCCAACTAACTTTTGGGGACATTGACATTGAATGTGCTCCATTACCAAGTTGGCTGGGTGTTCTGCGTTCTAGCTGTAACATAGTATCAAGGTGCTGTGTAAGTGGAGTGATAACATTAATCATTCACTTCATGAAAATAAACACAAAGGTTTAAGCTCTGATCTTTTAACCCTTTTCACCCTTAAGTGTCAGTATGGATATTCTCCATACTTTTCTCTATACATTTCTTAAGGTGCTGATAAGGAGAATTTATTTAACAATCAAGAGGTTCTTTAGTTAGTAACATTTCCTTTATTCTAGTAATCTTCTTTGATTCAGAGGCAATATTGTAAGGAGAAATTAGATGCTGGTCACTCTTAGGGGTCAAAGGGTGGAACATAAAATAGTCAAAAGAAGGGATGACACCAAAATACAAATGCATGCCGATTGGCTGGTTGGAAATTGATTGGCAAGTACTATTTACCTTTGAGCAGCTGAAGAGACAAATATGTCAAGAATTTAATTTCTGACCATTTTTCAGTACATTGACAGAAATAAACTAATTTTAATTTACTAAAACAATGATTCACCTCAGTATTGGTGAAAGTGGTGTAATTGTTTATTACTTCAGATCAAAAACACAAAGGCGCTGCCAGAGCTTGGATGCAAATCTGTTGATCTGATATTCAACACACCACCAACCATTTGCCACTTGTGTCCTCTACTGATAAATAAGCATGCTTTAAGTGGCATAAGTGTATAGTAAAACAGTGGATATCATTGAATGTGCACTCTGATTGGCTGCTCAAACTCTGAATATCCTTTGCTATTGACTTCAAAATATCCTTTGTTATTGACCTTCAACCAACTTGTGCAGGATTTGTGCCCAAAAAGATTGTAATTGTTTGTTGCTGGAATAAAGGAGTTAAAATCATCTTTTAGTGCTATATTATCACATTGTATAGTAAATATTAAAACATTTATTTACCCCAGTGTGGGTGGCTGGTGGTGAATATTAACCTCACTATATTGCAGCTCAGTAAATATCTATAACTAGCCACCTCCACTTTACAAATAAGTTCAGTAATTCATGTCTGCTTTTTAATGTTTACAGGGATTTGCTAATGTTGGTCTTCACACCTGTTGTCATCTTCTTCACCATGCAGGAGCTAGGTGTATTGGGATCATGGAGAGAGATGGAAATCTCTTCAATGCAGATGGAATTGATCCTAAAGAACTTGAGAACTACAAACTGGTACAATTTGTAGCTTTTTACATGCAGAGTTCTCTACTGTGTTTTTTTTTATAAGTTTTATTTTAAAATTTCTTTAGCTTACATTTGTCTATTGTTTCCCTTTTACTCCAGGACAATAATGGCTCAGTTAAAGGATTCCCAGGTGCAAAGGTTTGTGAAATGCTGTGAACAAAATAACCATGATTTTTACCTCTATGTAAGGTTTTGCTAATTTTTTATGGTAAATTAACATTTTTGCTTAGGTTTACTGACTCAAGGAAATGCTGCTTTATCAATTCTGGTTATCAAAGTCCTTAAATGATGAATAATGAAACGAACACTGGGGATATAAATTTTTTAATGAAGGAGCTCCTTCCTCCTAGAATATAAGCAAGTTGAAATGTTATATGCTGGTTTACCTGAGACCTTAAGAATGGATTAATGCTTTCAAGTTAACATTCTGTTCACCTCCTACTCAGTTGGAAAAAGTCTCAAAACCTCAGGTGCTGTCAAATGACATTAAATTATAAAATAAGTAATTGTAGACATTGGTTTTGAAACATATTCACTTTCATGCAATGTTTCAGATGACTGAGGAGAACCCCCTAGAAGGAGAATGTGACATTTTAGTTCCTGCAGCCAACGAAAAACAAATCACCCTTAAAAATGCCTACAAAATCAAAGCAAAGGTACTCTGTTACTAGAAGTATTTATTTAATAATATTTGATTTTTGGGCTGTTATTTGGTTGTTAGGTTTTCAAGCTTGGTTGCTCATTAGGGAGGAAGGTTATCCCAGTTTGTAGGGGAATGGGAATCTATAATAATTTGTTACAGGGTTTCCTGACATATTTGGTGATGTTAATTTTCGGTTGACCTTTTAACTATCATGAGTGACATTGACACAATTACTCCTTACAATATCAAGAAGACAAGTGATGAGTATAAAAAAATGTCAATCAGGGGCTCATTAGTTGATAAAGTTTGGAAATAAGGCGCAAAGAAGAAGGAAGAAACACTCAACTGCATCACGTGTTTCTCCTTCGCTTCTTTCGTGCTCTAGCTGCTTCTTGCTTGTTTTACAACAGAACAGAACATATTCAAGACTTCTTTATTTGTTAAAAGTAATTACTAGACAAGTTCACCTTTATATAAATAGTAGAAAGTGGAGACCATCAGTTGAGTCTTTTTTTTCGTCTTCTTCGCCATATGAAATAGTGAAATATGACTGAGAGCATAAATGGCAGTTTCCTTTCAACCTCGAACTCCCATCACGACCAATTTTACCTTTTTTTGAACTGCATAACTTTTTTCTTCTTCTTCTTTACTTGATTAGCTACCAGAGACAGCTCACCTTCATAGGCATTTTTTATTGTTAAACACTTTTGGTGACCTCTTTGTATTGCTTAAAGTCATTATGGGTTTTGAATGTCCCCTTAGATGCAAATGTATTGTACAAGTGCTGTTATTTGATAATCTCTTAGTGTTTCTGCATGTTTGTCTCTTCTTCGACAGGTAGCGTCCAAGAAAGCCTGTATAATCATTTCAAGGAAGCCATTCCAATCAAACCACCAGCTAAGTTCTTGCAAAAGATCGCTGTGAGCATTGCTTTTTATTTTATTTATTACTTCGCACCACAGAGTTGGATCTGGGGATGGGTGCGACAACTCCGCGGCCCTTCCCCCCCTCCCCCTCCCTCACTGTGATGACCTACGGCTTTTTTTTTATCACTAGTATCCTGCTAAAATTTGTTTGCGTCCCCCTGTCAGTTACATCCTTCCTTAGTGGTGCACTCCCCTCCCTAGAAGAATTCTGGATCCTTCTCGGCACCCAGCATACTCGATTGAGCAGTGCGACTTTCATTACATTTTTTGCGACTCAGATGCCTGCAACCCAAATAAACCCCGCTTTTCTAGATGTGATGTTTATTTGGGGAAACCACTTGTCGATATTTTTACTCTCCCGTAGGTTGCTTATTTGGGGGATGGTGCTTCACTGAAGGCAGTGCCTTATGAAGCACACGGTAATTATTTGTAATTTCGTTTGAATTCCCAACTGTCTGGTAAACCCTGAGCTGCAAGATTTGTACATGATTTTCCAATAAGATTTGTTCTCTCCCAAAATGTAACGGAGTCTTTTAATTTTAAAGTTTTGTAATCTTCTAGGGCGCGAATGAAAAAGATATTGTTCATTCTGGATTGGAGTTCACCATGGAACGATCAGCTAAGGTATTTCGTCACTGATTCGAGGTTTTCTTCACGAAATTACGTCCATATTAGTCCTTACCTTGGGTGCTGAGCCGTCAAAACAGGGCCCACGTTTGATATTTGGAAAACTGCGTCGAGTATATCACGTCATAACATACTGGTAGCATTCCTGGTAAATTAGTAATAAGTAAAAAACAAATTTCCCTTTTGGTCCGGTAATAATAAGCAGTTATTGGATGAGTTTGAGCATGACATTCTACACTTAATGTATGGTCCCGAGGGAAACAGTTAGTTTTGTTTTTCCTCGAGTCTTGATGTTTCCCGAGAAGAAATCGAGGAAGACATCAGGACTCGAGGGAAAACAAAAGTAACTAATTTCTTGTGGGACCATACATTAAGTGCTTTGTTATATATTTAGACTTTCCCTTAAACAATCATGTGCTGTTGAATTCGGGCGCCCGGGCAACAACTGCGCAATTGTATTCCGGTCGGGATACATTTAAATTTGATCAGGGGTACGTGACCAAGAATCAACCAGTCACAGTTCTCGTTTTGTTGACTGAAAATCAAGGTATATAACAACATGAATTATCATAACGGAGGTCTGAGTCATCTGCTGAAACCGAAGGCTGAAGCAGACAAAACAAACTTGAGGTTTGGTAATTGATGAGATTTTTCAAAAATGTGTCATAACGATGATGATAACATTAATGGACCACTCACCCAATGAAAATTTATAGGGCCAATATTGAACTTTGTCTTTTCTTGAATGTGAAATTTAACTGTGATTTTTCTTTTCCTTTTTAGCAAATTAGGCATTGTGCTAATGAGTACCAACTGGGTCTAGACATAAGGACGGCTGCATATATCGTGTCCATGGAAAAAGTCTATAACACATACACTGTGGCTGATTTCACATTTACATAATCCTCCTGTGAAAATTGACCAGTGATTAATTCTTAGATAATTTTCATTTGGCTAAATTTATGAATGAGCTTTACCATGGAGGATATTTATTGTAAAAGCATCTACTGCAGCGGTCATGCGTCCATGATGATTGTGTGTCTTTGTAAACTGGATGAAAAGAATGACAACGTTTTGTTGCCTTTTCTGAATTTTGAATCACACAGCAGTCGCATTCTTTGGTCATAACTGTAAAACAACGACACTTGACATAGCTGTAGCACTTTTTAGGTCACAGTTGTTTTTGAAACCGCAACATTACGAAAGAAATAGAAAGTAAAATGAGAAAAAGAGAAAATGTTCCATCAATAAATAACGGAAAGCTCTTGTCACTTTTAATGGGCTTGATTTGGGATTTTCTTAGGAAATCTGCGATCTTCTCTTTTTATGATTGAGATCTTGTTTCGCCACAATTTGATGAGAACTATAAGTTAAGATTATTTTACTGAGAAGTGAAAAAAAAAACCGCTCGTTTTAATTATTTATCTGAGGTGTTTTTTGTACTCCAGTTTTCCCCGTTAAATTAAACTCGTCATGGAGCGTGGTGCTTCTTGATCGGTCTCTTTTGTAACCATCTAGCTCTTCAGTGCACAGGCGTAAAGAAATTCAAAACTCAAGCATCTTTCATAGCGTGCATTTCCTTTTCTACTATTGTGAGTTACTTAACGCTCTATCTCTAACTAGTTGATTTTAGTGTTCTTTTCTGTTGCACACGGCGTGCACGTCTTAAATGTGCGGTAACATACGCTTTAGGTACCACTTCTATTTGCCCTTGTCGGTTTACCAAATTGTAATAGTGAGTGGAGCAAAAGTATTGAGAGTAATAAATGAGACTCGTCCTTCAGAAAGTTATGTAACCTTCAGGTTTAGGGCTCCGCCCTTTCTTCCTGAGGAACCGAGGTGCACGTGCGCAGTTTTCTAGGAAATTAGTTGCGTGACTTGTATTGCCGTGATGTCTTGTATCCGCCATGTTGGATCCATGAAGAGATTACTAAGCCTTTTGCAATAGGAAGAGAAAATTGCTACGGTCATAGATTTAATATGTCTGCCACTGAATACAATAACTTACTCTTCGCAATAAGTCGGAAACTCGACGAACTGAATGCACTCGATCACCTTCTGTTCATATGCAGCGGGAAGCTGGCGTCTGGCAGCGAAGGTAACATCCACGATACTCTGTCGTTGTGTAAAGAGTTAGAGGTAAATAATAATTTAGGAAGTGATCGCCTCCAGCTAATGAAAAGGCTGTTGAAGGGTGTCGAAGACTGGGCTCTTCTTGAAAAAGTGGAGAGATTCGAGTGCAAAAGAAAGGAATACAAGGCCTTGCTTGCTTCACTCGACGCGCTCAATGATTTGGAACGACTGATCGCGATATGCAGGGGAAGTGTTCGCGAAGAGAGTGAAGGCAACATTGAGGATGTTCGCTCGCTGTTTAAAGAACTGGAGAACCAAGACAATCTTGAGATTGACTATCTAGCTGAAACAGAGTCAAACGAGCTTTTGAAGGAACTTGAACAGGAAGATAAATCCGAAGCGAGGAAAGGTATTTCAATCTCTGTTTTCTGTTTTTAATGGTCAACAATAACTTTGATATGCTCGCGATAAAAAGTATAAAAAGTCCCTAGTATTTGTCGCCGCTCTTGTCCTCTACAAGCTGTACATCATCCGGGTTTGAGTGTGGGAATTAATGAAATGTTCAAGAACCTCACTTTATTCATCTTCGGTTGTAGGGAAACAACACTGCAAAGAAATGCGACAAAATATGAGAGACAGGTTGATTCTTTTTGTAGACGCATAACAGTCTGGTCTGAAAGTCTGAAAATTTTCGCGTTGCTTCGTGTGTTAGTGGACCTGTTTCACTTACTGAGCTCTCGCAATTTTTGTTTACCAATTAGTAGAAGTTGATAATACTTACTGAATTAATCGCTTCGTTGGGCTCACGGTTATGTTTGCTACTAGACAATCAGTTGTCTGCATAAGATGAAATTCTATGGCATACAATTCTAATAAATTAATTGAAAATAATTAACTCTATTTCAAATGTGAAATTTAAAAATTAGCACCAGAACTTTGAGGGCAACACTAAATAAAAACAACCTATCTCTGTGATAGATGCGAGGGTCAGTTTGACAAACTTATTTACGATCCTACCTGCAGTGTAAAATAGAAGGGAAGGTTGCAGGTAGGGTTTATCTGGCGTATACAGCCCTGTTCCCAGCTTCTTTTCTCTTATCCTTTCTTGAGGAATGTTGAAGTGTGTAGGCTGGTTGTCTTTGACATCATCTCGTAGGAGGCTGTAAATCCTCTGAGTTTTAGCCTCGAGAAAGTATGGAGAGATACCACATGTGGTATGGAAAATCATGTTATTAACTTAGACATTTCCTGAGACTGGCAGGGGAGCTTTCCACCGCAAAATTTACCTCCTAAAGAACTGTTTTGTTTTTAGTATTCCTCTTTGAGTAGGATACCAACTATCTTGAGATCCTTGTCCTTAACCTTCAAGTGGGCTTATCCAACGGTGCAGCCGACTTAGTTACTTAACATTCTTGATGTAAATCTCATGAAAGATAGAAAGATCCTGAGACAGCTTTTTCTATGATGGGCAGAAAGAGTTGTAGTCCACTTAACTGTCTGACACCTGCTGTTCCCTTTATATAGCACAAAGAGCTGCTCTTATGTCATCCGTTAGAAGCACATTGGTTGGAGGTAAGCCAGTTAAAATTTTTCCTGGTAAATTCTCTTAAAAGGGTTCACCCTGTCCCCTGGACGCGACAGTTTTAGGCAATAAGGGAGGACAGGACGGGGCCGTTATCAAAAAGTCTTGGCTCCAACAATGAGTCAACATGAAACGCATTCTCCTTTGCGGTTCGAATTAGTTGGAAAAACAACACCACCATCCTTTGTAGAATGAGTCATGTCACAAAACATATACATATTTTTATTGTTTTCAGTGGTGAACATTAAAACAGTATTCAAATTAGTTGCTGGCGGCCTTACAGCCGTTTCTGCCATGGAGGTGTTGAGTCGTTGGTCCTCATTTGATCAGCTGGTTGCAGCCGTACGAACCTGTGTGCTTCCAGCCGGCACAAGGCTGGTTCAAATTACTGATGGCTGTGTGTGCCTCACAGTTCAAGCTGAAAGTTTATCAGCTCTTAAACTTTTGTGGAACTTGTATCAAGACGGAACCCTTCAAAAAAATCTGCACGATTTCTTTGTCACTGATGAGTTGAGAGAACTCGCCGATGGAGAGGATATGGAGGTGAATGTCACCATCGATGAAGACGAATATCAGAAAGCTTGTATCGAGCTCATACAAGGGACCCAAGGTGACCTTGCATTGCTATGTTTGACTCAGTTTTAGCGAATCTCTGAGCCCAGATTTCCATATGGATCGTGTTAAGTGTTCCTTGATAGATATCGTTTTTCGTTACCGCTTTGAGGATAAACAACCAAGAAAGAATACGACTAAGGGCATGGCTGTCTACCGCATATACCACCCTTAATATTACAGTTCGAAACCAGATACAGCCACCATTTTTCAACAATTTAACCTAAGTTTTTATCTGTTCCTACCGCTTACCTATAGTGTGTTCATTTGAAGTGTAGATTTATCGTGCTAATAATATCACTTTTATAGTTACCATTTTTAAATTTTATTTTACTTCTTTTAGGAGGTGCTACGATTGATAATTTTAAAAGGAAACGGTGAAACTCTGATTCAGCTGTGTATTTCAACCCAAAAGAATTGCCAGTGTCAAGGCTTAAATGTCTAGAAACTGCAGAGGAAAATCCCCACAAAAGAAGAAAAATAGAAGAAAAAAGAGAGAATTTGGGATCCCACCCTTGTGAGGAAAAGGAAATTGCACCTATAGGATCACCCGATGAAAATTTTGGTAAGTACGCTTTTTGAAATTCATACCTAGTGTGGTTGCTTGGTCGTTTGTCTGGTTGTTTGTGGTTTGCCGTCATTGTGAAGAATCATCCTTGGCATTTCGTTTAGTTTGTTATGTTTTTGCGGACTTAAACATAACTCATAATCCTGGTCATTTCTGGTCCCTAAACTAACTTTGGAGAAACTTTTTAGGTTTGAAAAAATTGTCATGGAAGTAAAGCCAAAATTCTTGGGCGTTTTGTTCTTTTTCTTTTTCTTTTTTTTTCTTTTTTCTTTTTTTTAATACCTTACCTCCTTCTCCAAATAGTCTTAAAACTGAATTTGTGGTACTAACTGTGAGGTAATCTGTCCTAGATAACAAACCATGTAACCCCAAGAAGATGGAGAAAGACACTCTTAAGATGGAAGGATCAGAAAGACGCGAAAGTGAACAATTAATGAAATTAATGGGCGCAAAAAAAATGGAGTTTGTACAGAGGTATTTAGAGAATGTGCAAGAGACATACAGTATGACGACTGAGGCAAGTGACAGCGGTTTGGGAACACTTACTGTTATATCCGAAGAAGGAATAGAAGTCGTGAGAGGTAAAACTGGTTTAACTGTCATTTCTGTTGTTATTTCTTATGAATCGATGTCAACGGTGACTCGTTACAAATATCAAGTTTTCCATGAGTAAAGGAAGAGTGTTGTTAATCAGAGCTTAATGCGACAAATTGCATCCAAATTTGCGTTTGAAGAAGAAAGGAGTATTTTCATTTTGATTTGTATTTCTATTTTAAGTTACATGCAGTTTAAGACGTAGCGCTCGATTGAACTCAAGCCGCAAAAAAAGATCATCGATATTCTTTTTAGTTTACCCAATGAAAACAAAATAAGTCCAACATAGGGTGTGGTCCATTTTCCGCCCTTGAAAAGTATTCTGTTCTGAAAAGATGGCATAGCTACCATGAATGGCACCATATGTCTGACGTAGTTTAGTGTAGGAATTTTTATTCGGTCAACCTCCATTACCTGCCTCCTTTCCACCACGTCGACAACCATTAAGGCCGTTCAAAAATAATCACTCGAGAACAGCTGTTCAATCACCAACGGAAGAACATCAAACTTCGAGGCTATTCGCTGAGACAGGCAACCCTTGACATTTTTAATGCACTTAAGGGAAACACAAATGTCTCTAGTGCCAAAAGTGAACGTTTAACAAACTGCTTTTAGTCACCCATCATTATTTATTTTCCTTTGTTGACATTCAGTTTTTCGCCCAAAATCATTATTTTTTTTGTTTTGATTCATTTGATAGTATTGTTCATTTTATACCAATATTATTTTAAAAAACTGTCCAACCTACAGAAAAAATAGATGCTACATAACACCCCTATCTCCCTTTGACAACATTCTCTCTACAAAGTTCGCTCCTCACGGTGCCAAAGGTGGCCTGTTTGGAGAAGTTTAACCGTAATCAAATATTTCTAATCGTTATTTTTCCTTTCAACCTTACTCAGATTCTAAAACACTTTGCGTCAAAGATCTGAGGGAAGAGTCAATTAACGAACTGGATAAGATACTTTCTTCTGATAAAGTTGGGTTGGAGAGGGTTTTTCGATTTTTTGGTGTTAAAGTGGACACAAGAGTTATCACGCAGAAACATGTTTCTGCTATGAAGTCGATTGCAAAAAGCTATCCTAACACTCCTGTTGACCTAATACGGCAATGTTTCGAGGCTCTGCAAATGTACGATCTTGTTGACTTTCTGGAGACGGCGGTGAAACCTATTTCACTTCGTCCTGTCCTTTCCCCGGAAGAAGTCGAGACGTTACGCACTGGTGATCTTCCCACAAAGCCTCACAACAATGTGGCAGTGCTGGTAGTAAATTTCAGTGCGGACAAGGACCTCAATCAAAAGATCGAGCGATTTTTTAAAGATTTAAATTCACAGAACAATGTCACAATAACTGGATCTTCTTTCTCGGAAGAAAACCGCAAGAAAGTGAATGATTTGAAAATTAAGCAAATGGACAAGCAAAAACTAAGCAAGCAGTTAGAGGAACTTCAGAGTGCAACCAGCAAATGTGCAACGAGCAACACAGCATCTGATTCCTCTTATCTTAGAGAAATCGAGATTAAAGTCGCACAACTTGAAAAAGAAATAGAGATGAACAAACCGCTTGTGGAGGAGCTACTGAAAGAGAATGAGGAGACTAAGACGATCATAACATCTACAATGGACAATTGGATTCAGAATCAAGGTTGGTTGCAAACTACTTTCTAAGCATGACAGTGTCAACTGTTTGAGATAGTTCATTATATTAAGGTTTGAAACACTAAAGAAACAAACGTTGAGGCTCACACATCTTGGAGCAGTTTGAAGGATACAAAACAACAGCAGCTGAGAAATTGACTTACGAAATAATCATAATTTTATTGTTTTTATTGTTTTCGTTCAACAGAGAAATTCACCGCGACTGTTTTAGCTTTCATCGTCGATAAAAGGGAATCAATTAGGATTTTGATGTTTCATCAGAATGTGTGAAGTCCAAGTTGACATCGCTTCCAAATCACACGAAAATTTTGGTTGGTGGTCCATGGAGGAAAGTGATTATTGATATTCCTGAGTTTCTATCTGTCAGTACCCCAATCAGGCTAATGAACTCCTCGATAGTCAATTCGATGATTGAGATTTTCGCCAAGCGATACCACGAAATGGATCCCGCGTCAATGTTGAGAGAATTAGTAAGAAAACAAGTTATAGTTTCGGGTGAAATCCGAAGCCATCTTTCTACTCATGCAAGGTTTGAGAAAAGGAAAGAACAGAAGCTCGAGCGAAGCTAAAGATATGTGAATTCGACGGAACACTATTTGAAATAGGAGACATTATCAACAACTAATAAATGACCAGTCATCCGACAATTATTCATCGTCAAGGGGGTGGGGGTGGGGTAGAGTATTTTCGCTGTTAAATTTACCTGGTCCCCCCTTAGGGCTCTGTCGTATTCTTATGATCCTCTTCTCACTGGCAGTCAATTGACTGATCCCCCTCCGTTTCCCCTAAAAAAGGAACCCAGGTAATCTTCCCAGAATCCTCCACTCCCCCTCCCTAGGGGATAAATAATTACTGGTTCCCAACAGAATATTAAGCGCCATCCCATTGTTGTATTTTTCTTGTTTTCAAGTATCAGGGTTATTCAAACTTTTCTTCTTATATTAGGGAGGAAATGCAATTTACATTCAAAGATGTTCATCATGCAGTTGCGGACAAATTTGTTTGCAAAAGCACGACGAATGAAACCTGAGAAAGGAATATACCTCAATCTCCTTTCAAGGGAGTATTATCAAAACGATTTTCTTTTTTGAAATTATCCTTTCGTGGGTTTGGTTAATGTTGTCTTTTACTTAGAACTGAACAATAGAGCTGAGTAGTAGAGTTGCAGTGGTATCATAACGCGAAACTAGAATGAACTCGAGGATACGCGCACGCATACATCTTTCGTCCACTTCGACGCTTTGCCCGTTGCGTTGCATCTCCAAGCAAAGGAAAAAGAAAAACTACTAGTATCTATAGAGGTCGCCTCTTGAAGCGCCTCTCAATATTTTTAAAAAGCTTTTACAACACTTTTTACTTTGATCAGACTGCGTGTCATAACCTATAGCTAGCCTAGCCATTTTACAGACGCCATGTAATTTAAGAAACAAGGCTAAACCGCAACACCGGCTGAACCCTTTCCCTTAGTCTGCGCAATCAGATGAAGAGAACTTACGTCATCATCGTCTACGATGATACGACGCTTCCAATGTCGTCACTAATATTTCCACATCTGTGGTAACCTTTATCTGTTTCACTTCACCCTTCAGGTATTTGATGCTTGCTTCTTTCTCGCCATTTAGTCACCTAATAAAACCAAAGTATTGATGGATATACAGGCTTGTCAACAAAAATTCAACTAGAGGAGGAAATCAAAACTGTTTGCATTACCCGTAACATTCGTCAGAACTTGACCTCTTTTCTCATTGAGTTTGCTCAAGAGAGGCTGATACCGAAATGGATTTATGCATTGCGCAAGAGCTGTTTTCTAAGAAATTTCGATGTGCGTGACCAGTGAAATGGAGCGTGTCATTTGAGTTGTTCGAACGGGTCTTGAAATACAAAATAGCGTAGCCTGCTCTGAGTGAGGGTTGGTCTACACATGACATGTCTGCCATAGAATATAGTTATTTACTGATTGAAATAAGTGAAAAACTTGACGAACTTAGTCCAATCCATCGTCTTCTGTTCACGTGTCGAACGTTTCTAACACCTGGAAGCGAAGGCAACATTCAGGATACGCTATCGTTATTTAAGGAATTGGAAGAACAGCAAAATCTTGGAATTGATAATCTGGTGGTTATCAAAGAGCTGTTAAAAGGTGTCAGAGAATGGTCCCTTTTTGGAAAAGTGAAAAGATTTGAGAACAAACGAAAAGAATACAACGCTTTGCTCGAGGAGATAATTCGTGTGCTCGACGAACTCAATGATCTGGAACGGCTCGTCTCAGTTTGCAGAGGAAAGTTGTCTGAAGAAAGTGAAGGTCTTATTGAGAATGTTCGCTCGTTATTCAAGGAACTAGAAAACCAGAATATTCTAGGTCTTGATCGTCTTGATATCTTAAAGGAGATCCTCACCGAAACGGAGAAAAAGGATCTACTCAAGAAAGTGGAAGAGTTCGAGGAGCGAAGAAATAAGGAAGATGAGTTTGAGAGGAAGAAAGGTATTTGTTTTATCATTTTTACTGTACTGGAGTTTGTCGCGTTTCGGCTCTTTATTATGTAACATGATGGAACTGGCATATTACGGACACGTAGAGAACACATTTTTGAATAAAATTCAGCGCCCATACATTTAGTTACTCTGGAAGGTACTTTGCAAATTCCGAGTGCCAAGCCATTAAATTGTTGCTCTGTCTCGAAGTCATGGCTTCCAGTTTAAATGGCGGTGTGGGTCTGAGATTCGTATGGCTTTTCATTCCGGCCATTTCGCGCTTTAAAAGCCTCGACCAGCAGTTTCCCAAAACACATCAAGTTTCCCAAACTATAGTTCCGTACTCTGAGCCCAAGATAAACCCAGCGTGAGGTCTTTGATCTGTGTTTTGGATCGCATGTCACTTCTTAATCGACAACTATATGATGGTTCGTTCGATTTGGGTTCCTTCGATTCTTCGAATTACCAAATGTGTAGGACTGCCGGTCAACTCGTGTATTGAAAACTTTGACCGGCTGCAGGTCATTTAGCCACAGCGTTATGAATATGTGTAACTCGAACGAATGTCAAGCTGTTTCTGTAATTTACAATTTCAGTTGTCCTACATCCTTTGAAATTTCTTTAATAATTTTGCTTTGTGGATCCGACAAACTTCTTCCGTTCCGTAGAAATTAGATTCAATTTATTGATCTATTCTGCTTGTGGGTATTCCGGCGAAAAAGTCGATTTGCAGGTCATTCGACGCAATTTTTCTTCCTTCCCTAGGCCTAGAACCTGTCACAATTCATTGTTTTTACTTGAGTAGCATCTCCGTACTCTAGTCAGCTGGAAATGACACTGTTGTATCTGCGCTGTACAGTGAAACTTTGACCCCTCAACTGCGGCAGTCACTCCTTTCCATCTTCTGAAAAAAATAACGGAAAGCAAACCCAGAGATTTTATGATTAGTTCATTTAATGAACACTGTTTTTGTATTGGCAAACAAGGTGGCTCTAATGAATTATTAATTTGCCCCCCACCAACAATTACGATTTTTGCTCACTTATGCAGCTATGAAACCTGGTATGCTGGTTAGTGCTCGTACAAATTATACGTGACCAGTACGTTTAGATGCCAACTTGATTGCGAGGATTTTTTCTACACGCTTAAGAGACTCTTTTTCATTCCACTGTCATGCGTAGTCTATGATAGAATGCCAACAAAGAGATGGTTCACTTGTAAATTTTGTCCAGCTGACTTTCTGTTTGTTGTCTTCTAGCACAAGCAGCGGCTCTTGCATCATCCGTCAGAAATTCACTTACTGGAGGTAGGCCGTATCTTGTTAAATATGAGTGGTTCTTTGACACGACTTTGATATAGATTACAAATATGTTGCATGCTCCTGTTGATCCAGGGGTGGGTAATGTTGTCCTCTGGATAATTCTCGAACCGGTGGATAGTACAGCGCTTTTTGTCAAAATTATCTTTGAGATAGCTTCTCTTCTCCTTAAACAACTAGGCCCACATGTGCATTCATTAACTTTTATATAAATGAGGCTAGCGAATCCGTCACTGTTCCTTTAAGTCTTACCTAGCTAATAACTCATTCTTGTTGTCCTCTAGTGGTAAATATGAAGACTGTATTCAAGTTGTTTGCTGGTGGTTTAGTAATCGTTTCCGCCACGGAGGTCTTGAGTGGCTGGTCCTCATATGACCAGCTTGTCGCTGCTGTACAGAGCTGTGTGCTTCCGGCTGGTACAAGTCTGGTTCAAATCACTGATGGCTGTGTGTGCCTTACAGTTCAAGCTGAAAGTTTATCAGCGCTTACAAACTTGTGGAAGTTATACCAGGATGGAACTCTTCAGAAACGACTGTACGATTTCTTTGTCACTGATGAGATGAAAAAACTGGCCGAGGGAGAGGATGTGGAGGTGAATGTCACCATCGATGAAGGCGAATATCAGAAAGCTTGTCTCGAGTTGATGAATGGAGCTCAAGGTATTGTATGTTGCACAGTTGTTTTCTTGTTACTGTCGCGTCCCCTTCGCAGTCAGCTAAAACGTTTTAGCGTTCAGTCGATGGATGAGTGAAAGGTCGTGAGAGACTAGTGATAGAGTTCAGCGTAAATCCTGCCCTTTCCCTAGTGAATTGATACATTCGTCAAAAGGTACAATAAAGTAACAGAGGCCTATAATTCATACTACGGTATGCTATGTACTATGTAGTTTCGTTTGATATTCTCCAGCGTAACCATAAATTATAGCCATAACCATAAGGCGTATGAATCCACGACCGGAGTACATGCATTAACTCTTACCCCCTTCTATAATGTCTGAATGAATTTTTTATGAGTTAGATTTTACCCCTAATACGTCTACTTTAGATTTCTTCTTCTTTCGACTTCTCCCAATGCTAGTTTTTTTAAATCTCTAAAATTTTTTTGTAATATGAACTTTGGGAATCTGTGACTAGCCACACGCCATGGATTTCATAAAGTATGATATGTGTTGATTATTACTTTTAATGGTATATTTTAAACACTTTTGAGAAATTAGCCACAAAAAAAATCCATATATATTGACACTTCTTTGATCGCTTTTACCAAATCTGTCTCCCTCAGATCATAGCACTTAGTAATGATTTAGTATGTTGTCATGGTCTACGCAAACACTACTTCCTCTTTTTCTTTTGATTAGCTTGTTTGCCTGTTTTTGTTTTGTTCTGTAGAAGCTGAACTCACTGGACGAGAGGAACGAACTCGGAGAAACTCTGATTCAGTTCTGTATCCTAGCGTCACGGAAGAACTGTCAATGTTAAAGATCAAACGCATCCAGGCAGCATTTAATCAGAGAATGGCAGTTATGGAGAAAGAAATTGAAGAAGTTTCTTTGAAGGTTTTTGGAGATCGTAGTGCTAAGAGGCAGCAAACCATATTCAAGAAAATACCCTACGAGCTTGAAGGTAACAATGTAAATAGTGTATGAGTACATATCACAGCATACCTGAAAGCTTAAAATCGATCTGAAGCGAATAGAAGAACATGAGTGTGATTCTTTCTCAGAGACCAAAGCGCAAGAACTTAAAGAAACCGAGAAAGGATTCGAAGAGCATCGATTGTGGCAACCACCTAAGGTCGAGCCAATGGATATGGAGAAGTTTTTCCATGTACAAAAGTATCTGGAAGATGTCCATGAAACTTTTAGTGTGACGACTGAGGCGAGTGACAGTGCTCTGAGTACACAAGCAACGGTATCCGAAATTGAAACAGAAGAAGTTAGCGGTAAGTTTACCCAAACTCTAGCCCTCTGAAAACTGATTGATTTTTAATAATATTTATTTATTACCCCAAGAGCAAACGTCAGTCTTGAAAATCCGTAAATGCAAACTCCATGTTAATATACAGTGTACCTTTTGAAAGCTATAGAGGGGCACATTAAAAACGACATCAGAAGCTCTGAAAGAATTTCCATTTTGTGCTAACTAGCTCTAAAAATCAAAGACCAAAAGCGTAAGGAAGAAATTTTCCGTCCCTTAAATTTCTCAGGTGCACAGTTTAACGTGATATTAGTTTTACGCCTGATTTAATGATCATATATTTACTATAATATAATTTCGTCGGTTCAGGGAAATCCATCAAATAATAAAAAAGTTATGAAACTTTGAGTCGAATGGAACTCCTAGAGGTTAAAGAGTATTTTCTATTGTTGGGAGAGTGAGGTAGATTGGCTTACTGGTAATGTATAGGCGAGACAGGAGTTATAAAAAGGAGATTATGCTAGTGTCTAGATCTCTCTTGTCCTTTTAGACTTTGTACAAATGGTAGGAAAAGGGAGTACGAAACTTGTACATTTGCAACGAAGGCTCTTCGCGCACCCCGTCTCTGGGTGGTGATGGGTGGCTTTTAGGCTTTTAAGTTAAGCGGCCTTCCTATTAAACAAGAAAGTCGATTTAAAAATCTTTTTAAGAGTCAGCGTAACTCAGGCTTCGTGCAGCACAATTCACGTGAACGCAGAAAAATATAATGCTTAAGGGGAAGAAAAGTTGAGCGCGTAACCCAGTTTCTGATGTATTTTCGGGTTGTTTAATACAGGCTTATCCTCTTTATCTTTAATTGTACTTTTCTATTTCATTTGAAGCAGATAGACTTTGCTTGAAAGATCTCAGTCAGTTGGTCACAGGTGAATTGAATCAAAGGCTGACGGCTGATGCTACTGCGATGGAAAAAGTCTCCCGTTTTTTTGGTTTAAAAGTTGATCCATTCTCTTTCTCCTTCCTTCATATTAAACATTTCTTTCCTAACACTACTGTGAGCGTGTTGAAAGAATGCTTTGAGGCCTTACGATTGTACGATCTCGCTGAGATCCTAGCAAAAGTGAAACCACGTGCACTTTGTCCTACGCTGTCTCCGGAGCAAGTGGAAAAATTGCAACTCGGTGATCGTCGCACGAAAAACTACCGCAACATGGCAGTTGTGGTAGTTGATGTTAGCTGTGAACATAGTAAAGCAAAAATGATTGAAACATTTTTTAAAGATCTAAACCCAAAAAACGAAGTACGTGTAGTACCAGTTACTAATCTGGTAGAAAAGTATCTAGTGCTGGAGGACATCAGGCAGAAGAAGCGGTTGGAGATGGATGCGATCGCCTACGAGAAGAAACAACGGTTAGAAATGCATCTTTCTATGATGAGAAAGATGATTAAGGGGGAAGACCAGGAGAAGAGCAAAAGCCCTCAAGAAGAAAGCATGCTGAGAGTAATTGACCGTCGGTGGACGAATTCAAATCGTTTGAGAACCGAAGAACCTTTCCTGAGAGAACAACTTGAGAGCAAAATGAAAGAAATTACAAAACTTAGAGAAGAAATTAAAATTAGAACTAAGCTGATTGAAGATATTGGAAGGGAGAAAAGCGATGCAGAGTCGGCCTTGTTAAATGTCATGGACAAATGGATCCAAGATCAAGGTTGGTAAATTTGTACAAACTCTAGGAACATGACTATGGAAAGACGTGTTTTTAAGATCTTTCCGCTCATCTATGCATTATTTTTCTCTGGTGCTTTTTAAGTCCCTCGTTTTTATCCCATCGTCAAAAAGCCAGTTTCCGGTGGTCATTTAGAATATTATTTTTTTGGTACAATACTACGCGTTCTGGAGGCTAGAAACCTTCGGAAACTGTACAAACGTTCTTGCATTCCAAATTTTGTAGAAATGATTGCGTACAAAATGGCCAACAAACTAAAACAAACAACCTAATCCAGTAGGTAATTGTAATTGTTTTTTTGTGAAGAAGGTTGAATTGAATTTTTTTTTTTTTTTTGAACTTCGGAATTTTAAAAGATGAGGGAAAAAGCGCTGGACATTCATGGCTTAGAATTCTGTTAAAGCCTGAATTGTTTTCATGACTTGTTTTCGCAACTGCTTTAATTGTATTTATAGCTGCAGTGATCCTACTTGTTGTTTGTTACGTGATTCCAATCGAATAAGAGCGCCCCCAGTTTGCCGCTCTGATCATCGTTGGTTGCCTTTTCCGACTTATACGTCTTACACGGGTGTTTATAGATCAATCCTCCTGGATCTAAGGGTTGACAAATACTGTCTGTTGGTTTTAACCACGATAGCTACTCACTTTGTCACATAGGTAGCATTCCTAACAAACACAATAGCTCTACAAGTCACGTTCATGCTTGTAAACAATGGGTTCTAAACAGGCGCCTAATTCGATGGATTGACATATAACACGGGGAGATATTTGGAAGTTGCTTGTTATTTCTTCGAGTAGGGGCGAGGAAAAGTAAGAGCAATTACCGTAACGTTCGCTTGTATTATATGTTAAATCATCGAATAAGGGATTTACTTTTCCATTGTCCGGTATTTTGGCTTGGAGTCTTTTCACTTCCTTCACTTTTGAGCAATAATGGACAATTTTGTACTTGTTTGAATACAACTTATTGAAATGCCGCTGTTACAGCGTTTTGGGTATCCCCGCGTTTTAAGTATCCCATACCCAAAGTGCTGGTGTCTTCGGCATTCCCTCTGGGGATAAACAGAACACTAAAAGTGAATTAAACGAGAGATTGTGGTAAGTATACCTTTTGCTGTTCATTACAGGAAAATACGAACCATTTGCGTGAAAAAGGCGAACGCTTGCGTGAAGTTACATTATTGTCTTCATCTTATTAACGCCATCTAGGAATGATATTGAATTGCAAATAGTGTAATAAAAATGTTAATAATTGGTTTATGTATTATACTGTTTGTGTATTATCTCAATTGAATTTCATGATGGTGTTAATGACTTGAAGGTTAGCGTTGACCTATAAAAATGCCCAAAAATGTACTTGAATGCTGGTTAAATTGCGAAAATCGCTATCGCGCACGTGATCGTTTTTTTCTCGCTAATGAATGTAACTTCACGCAATTGTTCGCCTTTTCACGCAAATTGATGCGTATTTTCAGTAGAAGGTGTACTTCGGCCAATCTCTTGTTTAACTTACTGTGAGTGTTCTAAGTATCTCCAGAAAGGATACTGGAAACGCTAACATTTTGGGTACGGGGATAATTAAAACGTGGGGATACCCAAAACGCTGTGACATCTCCAGACTCAATGAAACGTGAATCTTTTCGTGACGCAAGTGATAACTTCTCTAAAGGGTATGGTTAGGCGTTACATTTTGGGCGGCCGCTCAGAGGAGGTTCGACTGCGTCTGCAGATTCAAACTTTTGTATAATTCTGGTGATAATCGTGTAGAATAATTTCCATGACGTCATTGCTTTTTCCTTTTTTTGCACACTTCTGGTTTATCTCGTTTGTTTTTGTTTTTCTTTCGTATACATTTCTTTCCTTTATTTTGTTTCTTTTCTAATTCAGTGATACGTTTATTGGTCTTCTGTTGTAGATGGATCCACCTTCATTGCGGTATTTTTAATCTGTACTGACAATTGGGCCCATAATTTTTTTAACGAACGCCTTTCTGAATCTATTGCGGAGAAGTTGGCTTCAATTCCAGATCATGGGAAACTTGTGGTGAGCCCTCCTGGATGGAAAAGTATTAGTAAAATTCCCGAAACCCTTCATATAATATTGAGGAAAGCTGGTAATGATCACGTCGGGAGGAGAGCAGACAACGATTCGCATTTTTTTACTTCATTCATTGAAATTTTCAAGAAGCGTTGGCCTTCGTTGGACCTTATTTCAATGATGAGAGAATTTAAAAGGACCTGGCCACATAATTTAGAAGTGAAGGACAATTTGTCTACTGTGCCACGGTTTTAGGAGGTAAACAAAGAGATTGTTGTGTAAATCATGGTTTATAATCTTATAATATCGCTAAGGACAGGTATTTCTAACACCGTTTTGTTCCAGTCGTAAATATGGAAGTTCAAATTGTAAGAGGGCGGGCGACATTACATAATGGCTTCCCGTTTTGTTGTGTATGGGGAATAAAACAAATACTGCTTACAAGGTTAGTCCTTGAAACATTTTTCAACGAAACAACCAAATACGTGTAAACAGTCAGAACAATGAGTTTGTGTTTCCGCCCAAAACCAGCCCGAGAATAACAGGTACTTGTGCTTAAAACCACTATAAGCGATGTTTTAATAGGGTGTGAAAACTTGTGTACTCATTCAAAAGTGTGCAGCTCAAATGAAAAAATTAAATGAAATTACGAAAAGTAGTTTTAAATGCGGTAAAAGCCGCTTGAATTACTAGGAAGGTCCAGCAAACGGGACCAAATGTATACTTTTTTCTTGCACGAAAACTTATGAAAAAACATTCAGTATTATGTTTACTTGTACAGAAAATGAAGAGAAAATTTATTCATTGGCTGGATCTTGATTCATCAAGGTGGACGAGTTTGATGTAGATAAGCAATACCTGATTTGTTGAGGAGACCTCCTATCCTATAATTTGCTGCAAGCCATACCTAAACAAATTACATATAACCAGCCTCGTTTTATTTCTACTAAAATTCCTTGTGCTAGCTTGTATGGGGCCCTTTAACTATAGCCTAACGTTTAGGAATTATGGTCCTAACAAAGCGTCCGCCTCTGTCGGATCGTCTGGGCTCTATTTCTCAACAATGACCTCTCAATTATTGGTTGATCCTTACTAATACAACTGAAAACTTACAGCGAGTGGAAGGCTTTCCCATCTACTACGCGTTATGCAAATAAACAATGCTGTTTATTAGTCTCTGATCTCTTTTCTCCACTGACTGCGTAAACGCACGATACCAGAAGCATGATTAATTCCTAGCGGCCGTGATGATCGTTAAGAACAATACTTTTATTTTTGCGTCAAGCCAATAATTCTTGTCGTATCGATGAAGGGAACGTTTGTAATATCAGGGCATCTGTATACCACTACGTGATAGACTGTGTGTATCGCCCTCAATTTCGATTACGTTCTTAAGATGCCTGATGCCTTTTTTTTGATGGTGTGTCAGTCCAGCAACGTCTTCTGGAGGATGATAATTCTGTGAGTTCGGGCATTGCATACAGATCCCAGCAAAGAACGAACATCTGAACGATTGACTCAAATTCCACTTTTAAGAGCTAAAACGACATAAATGTCGTGCGCTTTTTTTTTAATCATATATATCTTATTAAATCTCCCATCCGGTACTTAGACCCTGTCCATCTTAAACAAATGGGGTTAAGGTCTGGTAGCGCACGTGACGTTCGCACACCATCGGTTTTCGAACGTCACGCGAGCTGGGGTTAGTCTGTGTCCGCCATGCTGATCGGTCAACAAACATTAGCGAAACGTTAACTCTGCATCATTTTCGCGCTACAGAAGACCCATATGTTCAGAGAATATGTCTGAAATTAAGTATTGTGACCTATTCAATATAAGGACGAAAATTGGCGTAAACCAATCGGAAAGATTGGTTTTTATGTGTAGAAAGCAGATCTCAAAAGGCAGTAAAATAACGACTCAAAATGTACTCGGATTATTTGAAGAACTTGAGAAACAGGATAACCTCGGAATCGACCGGTTAGGAATTTTGAAAGAGATTTTGAAACAGTCGAAGAACCGATCCATGCTCAAGAAGGTGGAAGAGTTTGAGATCAAGAAAAAAGGTGCCCAATTAATGCTAGTCATATTTGTTGGGTTATTGTTATTATTGTTTTGAAATTCAGCCAAAGAAATTTGAAAAGTCGGGAGTGCCTTTTCGCCCGAGAACTTCAATTCAAGGCTTACAGCTTCTTCATTAATTGCAAGGAAAACGATTTCTTGTTAAAATGAATAATTCATCAATTTAATAATTTTATTTAGCAGTTGTTGCTTTGGATTATCTTATTTTTAAGTTTATTTTTTTGATTTGTAATAATTCAATTATGAGAAATTAATCTGTGACCCAATTTCCGTTTTTTAGGGTGTTTACCATGGAATAGAAAATTGTATAAGTTCAGGTATGCATTAAAAATTCACAAAATATTATTTTTGGCACATTTGTAATTCAGTTTATAAAAGACAATTCATAGACTTGGGCTCTTAAAAGAGCTACTTTTACATCTAGTAATGAAATGAAGAGTTTTTTCATCATATGTTTTATTGAATGTTACAGTAAGCATATTAATTTGTTCCATTGTTTAAAATAGGTAGAATCCAAAGGATAAACTTCTCATTAGCTTTGATGCTTTTATAATCGGTCCAAGGGATTTGATCTTTGGACCAGGCTTCAGATTAAGATCTCTTGGAGCTCTACTCTGTGTTTGAATGTGTAACCTACATACACATGGAGGGTATTTATACTGTGACAGAGTTAGAGGAGAATTGTTATCAAAACCTATGATCCACTCAATATCAGGATTTGTTCTTGCTTTTTATTAACATTTTTTTCTGCTCCAATTGCGACTTAAACGTGGTGAGCTGTGCAAGGGAGAAAAAAAATTGTCAAGGCAGCCTGAAGAGGCTGGGTGGATGGTACCTATAGTACAATTGATGGGGGATGGTTTGATACCCAACTAACTTTGGGAGACATTGACAAAATTGTGCTCTGTGACCATGTTGGCTGGGTGCTCTGCATTGACTAGCTGTACAGTAGTATGAAGGCACTGTCTGGGTGGAGTGATAACACAACTCTTTCACCTTGTAGAAATTAACACTAAGGTTTAAGCTCTGATATCTTCACCCTTTACACCCTAGCATCAATATGGATATTTTCTATACTGTTCTTTATACATTTCTTAAGGTGCATTTAATGAGAATTTGTTTAACAATCAAGAGGTTTTTTTAGTTGGTGACATTTTCATTATTCTAGTAATCTTCTTTGATTCAGAGGCAATATTGTAAGGAGAAATTAGATGCTGGTCACTCTTAGGGGTCAAGGGGTTGAACATAAAATAGTCAAAAGGAGGAATGACACCAAAATACAAATGCACATTGGAAAAGTTTAGTTCCCATAGGGCCAGATGCACATCAAAACTACAAAATAATATTTCTTCAGTTCCTCTCTTTCACGCTAGTCTCTCTTCTCTGGTTCTATTTTTTGTGGGTGTCAGAAAGCTATGACTTATAACCTGCATATTAGTCTATAATAATAATTGGCTTGGAGGGCTTACAGAAAAGGAATATGTACAGGCCAAAGAAAACAAATGATAATAAAATTATGTTAATAATTTCCCCTTTTTTCAGAACAATATGCTTAATTGGTTGGCTCAGAACCAGGTCTTTGAGGAAAGACATTCATAATTCAGGTAATTACTAAAAAGAATTACATGACCATTGCTGATATGAAACATTTTGGCTGGTTGGGAAGTGATTGTCTAGTGCTATTCACCACTGAGCAGCTGAAGAGACAAAATTATGTCAACAATTTAATTTCTAACCAGTTTTTGGTATATTGACAGAAATAAACTAATTTTTATACACTAAAACAATTATTCATCTCAGTATTGCTAAAAGTGGTGTAGTTGTTAATTACTCCAGAACAAAAAAACACAAATGAATGGTGCTGCCAGAGCTTGGATGCAAATCTTTTGACCTGATGTTCAACACACCACCAACCATTAGCCACTTTGTGTCCTCTACTGAAAAGTAAGCATGTTTTAATTGGAAGATTAAGTGTAAACTAAATCAGTGAATAGCATTGAAGGTGCACTCTGGTTGGCTACTCAAACTCTGAATGTCCTTTGCTACTGACCTCAGAATATCCTCTGTTATTGACCTTCAAGTAACTTGCACAGGATCTGTACCCGAAAAGATTTTGATTTTTTTGTTGTTGGAATAAAGGAGTTAAAATCATATTTTTGTGCTCTATTATCTCATTGTTTAGTAAAATACTAAAACATTTATTTACCTCAGTTTGGGTGGCTAGTGGTGAATATTTACCTCACTATGTTGCAGCTCAGTAAATATTTATAACTAGACACTTCCACTTAAATGACAAATTGTTAAAAAAGTTCAGTACTTCATGGTACTTGCATGTCTTCTTTTTTAATGTTTACAGGGATTTGGCAATGTTAGTCTTCACACCTGTCATTATCTTCACCGAGCAGGAGCTAAGTGTATTGGGATCATGGAGAGAGAAGGAAATCTCTTCAATGCTGATGGAATTGATCCTAAAGAATTTGAGAACTACTGACTGGTACAATGTGTAACTTTTTACATGCAGAGTTCTCTATAGTGTTTTTTTATAAGTTTTATTTTAAAATTTTTTCAGCTAACAGTTGCATATTAGTTGTTTCCCTTTTTCTCCAGGACAATAATGGCTCAGTTAAAGGTTTCCCAGGTGCAAAGGTTTGTGAAATACTGTGAAAAAAATAACTGTCAGTAATTTTTACCTTTATGTAAGGTTTTGCTGATTTTTCATGGCTAATTAACATTTTTGTTAAGGTTTACTAACTCAATTGTAGACATTGATTTTGAAAAATATTTACAGTCATGCAATGTTTCAGATGACTGAGGAGAACCTTAATTGTAGAAGCAGAATGTGACATATTAGTTCCTGCAGCCAATGAAAAACAAATCACTCTTAAAAATGCCCACAATAACAAAGCAAAGGTACTCTGTCACTAGTAGTATTTTTTTATTTAATTTTTGGGCTGTTATTTGGTTGTTAGGTTTTCAAGCTTGGTTGCTCACTAGTAAGAATGGTTATCCCAGTTTGTAGGGGAATGGGAATCTATAATAATTCGTCAGGGTTTCCTGACATATTTGGTGATGTTTATTTTTGGTTGACTTTTTAACTCCCATGGGTGACAATGACACAATTTCTCCTTACAATATCAAGAAGACAAGTGATGGGTATAAAGAAAAATATAAATTAGGTGATTATTAGTTGATCCACTACCAAATTCTCCAAATTCTCTAAACTGACATAAGAATTGTATGGTAGACAGTAGGGAGAATTACTAATGAGATCTTGGGAGTGAAATGGTTGATATAATTTGCTTTTTTACAGTGCACAACATAAATGTTTCAGCCACTTATAGAATTCGTCCCACTCGATCCAGAGATTGCCATGCTTACCGCTAGACCACCTTAATCCTCTTACTTTGCAGTTGTTCAATGCATTAATTTTATTTTATGCTACCTCAATCTTCCCTCGTAACAGAATTGTAATAAAGAGCCCAATTGCATTGCTGTGATGTCTTGTGTCCGCCATGTTGGATCCATAAAGAATAAAGAAATAAGGCGTGAAGAAGAAGGAAGAAACACTCAACTGCGTCTCATGTTTCTCCTTTGCTTCTTTCATGCTCTGGCTGCTTCTTGCCTGCTCTACAACAGAACAGAACATAGTCAAGACTTCTTTATTTGTTAAAAGTAATTACTAGTAAGACAACTTCACCTTTACGTGAATAGTAGAAAGTGGAGACCATCAGTTAAGTCTTTTTTTTCTTGATTACTCTACTTTGTGTTTTCAGGTTATTGCTGAGGGGGCAAATGGGCCAACCACACCTGAGGCAGAGAAAGTTCTGATTGAAAATAAGAAACTCGTTATTCCAGTAAGTTTAGAACGAAACAGCAAGTGCAATCTGAAGTAAATTTGGATATGAAGCTCTAACCTGTGTTTGTTTATCGTAATTAATGTTTGCACCAGAGGCATGGTTTGAGCTGAAATGTTTTATATTGTGACCATGTAGGACTTGTATTTGAATGCGGGAGGTGTGACGGTATCCTATTTTGAGTGGCTGAAGAACATCAATCATGTCAGTTTTGGACGTTTAATACAAGAAGGAGGAAAATTTTAATCTTTTAGGTGAGCTTGTCTTTTCACTAAGAATACCTTAAATGATGGATCTTCATCATTCATTTTGTATTTATAGATAAGCAATTTTACTATGGGTATCAAGTTATTTGAGATAATGTTGTCTTTGCCATATGAAATAGTGAAATATGACTGAGAGCATAAACTGCAGTTTCCTTTCAACCTCGAACTCCCATCATGACCAATCTAATTTTTTTTTGAACTGCATAACTTTTTTTCTTCTTCTTCTTCTTTACTTGATTAGCTACCAGAGTCAGCTCACCTTCATAGGCATTTTTATTGTTAAACACTTTTGGTGACCTCTATGTATTGCTTAAAGTCATCATGGGTTTTGAATGTCCCCTTAGATATATATGGATTGTACCAGTGCTGTTATTTAATAATCTCTTAGTGTTTCTGCGTGTTTGTCTCTTCTTCGACAGGTAGCGTCCAAGAAAGCCTGTATAATCATTTCAAGGAAGCCATTCCTATCATACCATCGGCTGAGTTCTTGCAAAAGATCGCTGTAAGCGTTGCTTTTTATTTTTAGTTTATTAATACACACCACAGAGGTGGATTGGGGAAGGGTTCGCCAACTCCACCGATGAGCTACGGCTTTTTTATATCACTAGTATCCTGCTAAAATTTGTTTGCGTCCCCCTGTCACTTACATTCTTCCTTAGTGGTGCACTCCCCTCCCTAGAAGAATTCTGGATCCTTCTCGGCACCCAGCATACTCGATTGAGCAGTGCGACTTTCATTACATTTTTTGCGACTCAGATGCCTGCAACTCAAATAAACCCCGCTTTTCTAGATGTGATGTTTATTCAGGGAAACCACTTGTCGATATTTTTACTCTCCCGTACGTTGCTTATTTGGGGGATGGTGCTTCACTGAAGGCAGTGCCTTATGAAGCACACGGTAATTATTTGTAATTTCGTTTGAATTCCCAACTGTCTGGTAAACCCTGAGCTGCAAGATTTGTACATGATTTTCCAATAAGATTTGTTCTCTCCCAAAATGTAACGGAGTCTTTTAATTTTAAAGTTTTGTAATCTTCTAGGGCGCGAATGAAAAAGATATTGTTCATTCTGGATTGGAGTTCACCATGGAACGATCAGCTAAGGTATTTCGTCACTGATTCGAGGTTTTCTTCACGAAATTACGTCCATATTAGTCCTTACCTTGGGTGCTGAGCCGTCAAAACAGGGCCCACGTTTGATATTTGGAAAACTGCGTCGAGTATATCACGTCATAACATACTGGTAGCATTCCTGGTAAATTAGTAATAAGTAAAAAACAAATTTCCCTTTTGGTCCGGTAATAATAAGCAGTTATTGGATGAGTTTGAGCATGACATTCTACACTTAATGTATGGTCCCGAGGGAAACAGTTAGTTTTGTTTTTCCTCGAGTCTTGATGTTTCCCGAGAAGAAATCGAGGAAGACATCAGGACTCGAGGGAAAACAAAAGTAACTAATTTCTTGTGGGACCATACATTAAGTGCTTTGTTATATATTTAGACTTTCCCTTAAACAATCATGTGCTGTTGAATTCGGGCGCCCGGGCAACAACTGCGCAATTGTATTCCGGTCGGGATACATTTGAATTTGATCAGGGGTACGTGACCAAGAATCAACCAGTCACAGTTCTCGTTTTGTTGACTGAAAATCAAGGTATATAACAACATGAATTATCAAAACGGAGGTCTGAGTCATCTGCCGAAACCGAAGGCTGAAGCAGACAAAACAAACTTGAGGTTTGGTAATTGATGAGATTTTTCAAAAATGTGTCATAACGATGATGATAACATTAATGGACCACTCACCCAATGAAAATTTATAGGGCCAATATTGAACTTTGTCTTTTCTTGAATGTGAAATTTAACTGTGATTTTTCTTTTCCTTTTTAGCAAATTAGGCATTGTGCTAATGAGTACCAACTGGGTCTAGACATAAGGACGGCTGCATATATCGTGTCCATGGAAAAAGTCTATAACACATACACTGTGGCTGATTTCACATTTACATGATCCTCCTGTGAAAATTGACCAGTGATTAATTCTTAGATAATTTTCATTTGGCTAAATTTATGAATGAGCTTTACCATGGAGGATATTTATTGTAAAAGCATCTACTGCAGCGGTCATGCGTCCATGATGATTGTGTGTCTTTGTAAACTGGATGAAATGAATGACAACGTTTTGTTGCCTTTTCTGAATTTTGAATCACACAGCAGTCGCATTCTTTGGTCATAACTGTAAAACAACGACACTTGACATAGCTGTAGCACTTTTTAGGTCACAGTTGTTTTTGAAACCGCAACATTACGAAAGAAATAGACAGTAAAATGAGAAAATGAGAAAATGTTCCATCAATAAATAACGAAAAGCTCTTGTCACTTTTAATGGGCTTGATTTGGGATTTTCTTAGGAAACCTGCGATCTTCTCTTTTTATAATTGAGATCTTGTTTCGCCACAATTTGATGAGAACTATAAGTTAAGATTATTTTACTGAGAAGTGAAAAAAAACCGCTCGTTTTAACTATTTATCTGAGGTGTTTTTTGTACTCCAGTTTTCTCCGTTAAATTAAACTCGTCATGGAGCGTGGTGCTTCTTGATCGGTCTTTTTTGTAACCATTTTGTTCTTCAGTGCACAGGCGTAAAGAAATTCAAAACTCAAGCATCTTTCATAGCGTGCATTTCCTTTTCTACTATTGTGAGTTACTTAACGCTCTATCTCCAACTAGTTAATTTTAGTGTTCTTTTCTGTTGCACACGGCGTGCACGTGAACAGCAAAACGTGTACCTGCCCTAATCTCTTGTTTAATTTACTTTCTGTGTTCTGGGTATCTCCCGAGGGGATACCGAAAACACCAGCATTCTGGGTACGGGTATACCCAAAACGCTATGACATCAGCAGACTCAGTGAAACGTGGTCTTTTCGTGTCGCAAGCAATAACGCCTTTGAAGGATATGGTTAAGCTTTACATTTTGGACGGTCGCTTACTGAGGTTCGACTACGTCCGCGGATTCATAATTTTGTTTAATTTTAGTGGTAGTAGTAGGATAATTTGCATGATGTCATTGTTTTTTCTGTTTTTGCACTCTTCTGGTTTATTTCGTTTGCTTTGATTTTCTTTTGTTTGCATTTCTTTCTTTTAGTTTGTTCCTTTTCTAATTCATTGATACATTTATTGGTCTTTTGTTGTAGATGGATCCACCTTCATTGCGGTATTTTTAATCTGTACTGACCATAGGGCTCAGCATATTTTTTCCGAACGCCTTCATGAATCTATTAAGGAGAGGTTGGCATCAATTCCAGATCATGGGAAACTCGTGGTGAGCCCTCCTGGATGGAAAAGTATCGGCAAAATTCCCGAAACCCTTCATATAACATTGAAGCAAACTCATGACGACTTCGTCGAAAGAAAAGCAGTAAACGATTCGCAACTTTTCACTTCATTCATTGAAATTTTCAAGAAGCGTTGGCCTTCGTTGGACCTTATTTCGATGATGAGAGAATTTAAAAGGACTTGGCGAAATCATTTAGAAATGAAGGACAATTTGTCTACTCTGCCACGGTTTTAGGAGGTAAACAAATAGATCGTTGTATAGATTATGGTTTATAATCATATAATGTCTGTCTGGACATAGATATTTCTTAAACCGTTTTATTCTAGTCGTAAGTATGGAAGTTTAAATGGTAAGAAGGCGGGCCGTCATACGACAAATTGGTTGCTTATGTCCATGTAGCGATATTATATATCGCCTTCCCCTTCTGCTGTGTATGGGGAAGGTAAGATGGCTTGAGGTAACATATATTTTCGAGTAGATTTTCCAGAAGATACATGTAAGCATGGCAAGCTCAAGCAACCTCCCCCTTTTTTTTTACAAATAATTGTAAAAATTATTTTTGAGACGAAAGGGGACTTAAATGTTCCGCTTCTCAGTTCTATGAATTACTTAAGTACATGCTTAACTCTTACTTAAGTTTCTACAACTCCTTAATGGAAGCCTACTTTCCAACTGTACAACAATGGGTTTGTGTTTCCGCCCAAAACCATCTCGAGAACAACAGGTGCTTGTGCTTCAAACCACTTTAGGCGATGTTTTACTCGGGTGTGAAAATTTATGTACTCATTCAAAAGTGTGCAGCTCAAATGAAAAATCAAACGAGACTACGAAAGGTAATTTTAAATGTTGTAAAGGCAGCTTGTATTTTGTTGAAATGATAGTTGAAATGGGTACTTAATTTACAAGTAAGGTCCCGCAAACGGGTCAACTCCAGTGAAAAATATTCGATAATTGCACAAAAAAAAAACATTGTCCTCTAGAGAGGTGACCATAATGATTTTTTCTTGCACGAATACTAATGGGAAAACGTTCAGTATTGTGTTTACTTGTACGAAAAATTTATTCATTAGAAAGAGGTTATCGTGGTTATCATGTTCAAACTTACAACGTCTATCCTTTCGCAGAAACCTTTCCCCCTGGACAACGAAAGTGACTGAGGTGTCCAAAACCTTTACTCCCCACCTTTGTTACTAATCCAGTCCCCGGGCTGTGTTCGAGTGCTAGCCTTGACGTTAAGCCTCCTGCGCTCTAAGTGGTCAGGCTAGATCAAAGACAAGTGAAGCCCATTCTCAAGCAAAAACCTAGAGATCAAGTGTTTGGGTTAATGCTCTCAATGCAAAACAGCCCGCTTGACTAAACAACCCACTCCGGTTGACCGGCGTGCCAGAAACTACCCTCCCATCCCCTGAACTTTGGACGGTCATTGCAACCTCAAAAGCTCACAAGGGAACCTATGTAGGTATGTCAAGAATTGTTTAACATGTTCAGATTAGGTAACCAATTGATTAAACGTAATGGATCATCGTTGCATACAGTAGATCTGAAGGATTTTTATTTCTCACAAAATTTCCAGCTTGATTTGAATAAAAGGGACACTGATTTAAATGAGACAGAACCGTAAATTCAATGATCAACCATGAATTGCATTCTGGGTGGATCTTGATTCATCATGGTGGAGAAGTTTGATTTAGATAGGCGATGTCCGATGGTTCGAGGAGGCTTCTTATCCGGCCATGATTTGCTGCAAGCCATACCTAGACGGTTAATATTAATAGCATGGTATCATTAGGAAATCAACATTCATATGCTAATTGCATATAAATCAGCCTCATTTCATCTCTCCTAAAATTCCTTGCGCCGGCTTGTATAGGGCCCGTATAGCCTAACGTTTAAGAACTATTTTCCTAACAAAGCATCACCCTCTATCGGATTGTCTGGGCTCTGTTTCCAACAATAACTTTCCATTTATTGGTTGATCCTTACTTGTACAACTGAAAACTTACAGCAAGTGGAAGACTTTCCTCTCTACTACGCGTTATGCAAGTAAACAATGCTGTTTATTAGTCTCTAATCTCTTTTCTCTACTTGCTGCGTAAGCACACGATACCAAGAAGCATGAGTAATTCCTAACGGCGGTGATGATTGTTACGAACAATATATTTATTTTTGCGTCAAGCTAATAATTCTTGTCGTATTGATGAAAGGAACGTTTGTGATATCAGGGCATCTGTATACTACCACGTGATAGACTGAGTGTGTCACCCTCAATTCAATTTCAGGCAAACAAATCTTGACTCTGATTCTGTATGACTACGTTCTTAAGATGCCTGATGCCTTTTTGCTGATAATGTGTCAGTCCAGCGACGTCTTCCAGAGGATGATAATTCTGTGAGTTCGGGCATTGGATACAAATCACAACAAAGAACGAACATCGGAACGATTGACTCAAATTCCACTTTCAAGAGCTAAAATGAACGAAATGTCGAGATTTTTTTTTTATCACAGTTTTCTTGATAAATGTCTCGTCAGGTACTCAGACCCTATCCACCTTAAACAAATGGGGTCAGGGTCTGGAAGCTCGCGTGACGTTCGCACATCGTCGGTTTTCGAACGTCACGCGAGCTGGTGGTTAATCATGCAACGCTTTAAGTCACCAATTCTTCCGCCATTGTCCGCCATATTGGTCGGCCAACAAGCATCAGCGAAACTCTGCATCTTCTTCGCGCTACAGAAGACCCATATATTCAGAAAATATGTTTGAAATCGAGTATAGTGACCTTCTATTTGAGATAAGTTCGAAAATTGGCGTAAACCAATTAGAAAGATTGGTTTTTATGTGTAGAAAGCAGATCACAAAAGGCAGTGAAAGAACGATTCAAAATGCACTCGAATTATTTGAAAAACTTGAGAAATGGGATAAACTCGGAATCAACCGGTTAGAAACTTTAAAAAAAGATTTTAAAACAGTTAAAGAATTGATCCATGTTCAAGAAGATGGAAGAGTTTGAGAACAAGAGAAAAGGTGCTCAATTAATGCTAGTCATCTTTGTTTTGAAATTCAGCGAAAGAAATTTGAAAAGCCGGAAGTGTCTAATTGCTCAAGAAGTTCAATTTAAGGCTTACAGCTTCTTCATTGGTGAGAAAGGAGATAATTTCTTGTTAAGAGGGATTATGTATTTATATGATAATTTTATTTCTAGCAGTTATTGCTTTGGATTTTATTATTTTTGAATTTATTTTTCTGATTTTTAATAATTAAATCATGAGAAATTAATCTGTGGCCCTAATTCCGTTTTTTAGGGTGTTTATCATGGAATAGAAAAATTTTATAAGTTCAGGTATGCATTAAAATTTTACAAAAATTGATTTCTAGCACATTTGTAATTAAGTTTATAAAAAGCATTTCATGGACTTGGGCTCTTAAAAGGGTTCATTTATGTCTAGTAATGAAATGAAGAGTTTTTTTGTGATTTGTTTTGTCTATGTTACAGTAAGCATGCTGTTTTGTTCCATTGTTTAAAATTATAATGTTCAAAGGATTAAATTATGGGAATAGGCTTCAGATTAAGATTTTTAGAGCTCTACTCTGTGTTTGAACATGTAACCTACATACACATGGAGGGTACAATTGTTGTGGTGATCCACATTTAATGGGTCATCCATGTGTGTCAGACTTAAGCTCAGGTGACTCATATTTCAGCCCTGTTCAGGGTTCACTTGTTGTGTCCTAGTTAAAGACCTCAAAGACTAAGTTTATAGTGATAGAGTTAGAGGAGAGTCATTATCAAAAGCTATGATCCACTGAATACCAGGATTTGTTCTAGCTTTTTACTAACATTTTTTCTGCTCCAATTGAGACTTTAATGTGATGAGCTGTGAAAGGGAGAGAAAAAAATTGTCAAGACAACCTTAAAAGGCTGGGTGGATGAAACCTATGGTACATTTGATGGGGGGATGTCTTGCTACCCAACTAACTGACTATTAGGGACATTGACATTGTGCTCCATGACCATGTTGGCTTGGTATTCTGCATTTGAGAATGAGAATTTGTTCAACAATCAAGAAGTTTTTCAGTTGGTGATATTTTCTTTATTCTATTAATCTTCTTTGATTCAGGGGCAATATTGTAAGGAGAAATTAGATGGTAGTCTCTCTTAAAAGTCAAGGGGTTGAACATAAAATAGTCAAAAGAAGGGATGACAAAAAAATAAAAATTATGCACATTGGCAAAGTTTAGTTTTTCTACTGATAAGTAAGCATGTTTTAAGTGGCATAAATGTATACTTAATCAGTGGATAGCATTAAAGGTGCACTCTCATGATGATTCGGCTACTCAAACTCTGAATATCCTTTGCTATTGACCTCAGAATATCCTTTGTTATTGACTATCAAGCAACTTGCAGATTTGCACCTGAAAAGATTGTAATTGCTCGTTGTTGGAATTAAAAGTCATCTTTTTTGTGCTTTATTACCTCACTGTTTTAGTAAGTACTAAAATAACTATTCCTCCCAATGTCTGTGGCTAGCAGTGAATATATACTTCCCTTATTGTTACTCAGTAAATATCTATAACTAGCCACCTCCACTTTGGTGACGAGTTGTGACATAGTTTAGTAATTCATGGTACTTGTATGTCTTCCTTTTTAATTTTTACATGGATTTAGTAATGTTGGTCTTCACAGCTGTTGTTATCTTCACTGTGCAGGAGCTTAAAGAGCATTGGGGTCATGGAGAGAGATGGAAATCTCTTTAATGCAGATGGAATTGACCCTAAAGAACTTGAGAACTACAAACTGGTACAATTAGTTCTCTAAAGTGTCTGTATATGTATATATATAAGTTTTATTTTAAAATTTCCTTAGCTAACATTTGCGAACTGTTTCCTTTTTTGTCCAGGACAATAATGGGTCAGTTAAAGGTTTCCCAGGTGCAAAGGTTTGTGAAATACTGTGAAAAAATAACTGTGATTCCTACCTCTATGTAAGGTTTCACTAATTTTTTATGGCTAATTAACATTCTTGCCTAGGTTTTACAAACTCAAGGAAATGCTGCTCTGTTTATTCTGCTCTTTTAGTCCTTAAATAATGAATAATGAGGTGAACACTAGGGACATGAATTTTTAATGAAGTAGCTCCTTCCTCTTAGAACATAAGCAAGTTGAAATGTTATAGGAGTTCAACCTTCTAGAAGCAGAATGTGACATATTAGTTCCTAGTAGTATTTAATTATTTAATCTTGGGCTGTTATTTGGTTATTAGGTTTTCAAGCTTGGTTACTCACTAGTGATAAAGGTTATCCCAGTTAGTCAGGGGGGGGGGAATCTATAATAATTCTTCAGGGTTTCCTGACATATCTGGTGATGTTAATTTTACAGTCAACCCTTTATTTCCCATGAGTGATGATGACACGATTACTCCTTACAATATCAGTAGATATTAGGCAGATGATTAGTTGAACCAATACCAAGCTCTGAAAACTAACATGATAAGAATTGTATGGTACACAGTAAGGAGAATTACTCACTAGATCTTGGGAAATGGTTTATTTAATTTGTCTTTTTGTAAGCACAACATAAATGTTTCAGCCATCGATAGAATTTGTCCCTCTTGATCCAGAGTTTCCCATGCTTACCACCAGACCACCTTGTTCCTCCTTGCAGTTGTCAGAAATGTTAATTTTTTTCCTTATGCTATCTCAATTCCATTGAAACAGAATTTTAATAAAGTTTAAAAATAAAGTGCAAAGAAGAAGGGAGAAACACTCAACTATGTGTCATGTTTCTCCTTTGCTTCTTTCACACTCAAGCTGCTTCCCACATGCTTTACAACAGAACAGAACAATTAGTCAAGGCTTCTTAATATTTGTTAAAAGCAATTCAGTTGACAACTTTACCTTTATGTGAATAGTAGACAGTGGAGACCATCAGGTTATGTTTTTTTTCTTGTCGACGTTGTGGGCTGACCACACCCGAGGCTAAGAAAGTTCTGATTGAAAATAAGAACTCATTATTCTAGTAAGTTTACAATAAAATGGCGAGTGCAATCTGAATTAAATTGTTATATGAAGTTCTTGTATTTGTTTATCATAATTAATTTTTACACTTGATAAATTGCTTGAGTTTAAATAGATTGTGACCATTTAGGACTTGTATTTGAATATGGAACTGGTGTGACAGTATTCTATTTTGAGTGGCTGAAGAACATCAGTCGTGTCAGTTTTGGACGTTTGACTTGGAAATACGAGAAGCAGGCAAATTTTCATCTTTTAGGTGAGCTTGTCTTTTCACCATGAATATGTTTAATGATGGATCTTAATGATTCATTTTGTTTTAGAGATAAGCAATTTTACTATGAGTATCAAGTGATCTAAGACAGCATTGTCTTCACCACATAAAATAGTACAATATGACTGAGAGCATGAGTTGCAGTTTCCTTTCAACCTCAAATTCCCATCATGACTAATCTTGCCCTTTCTCCCAACTGCATAAGTTTTCTTCTTCTTTACTTCATTAGCTACCAGAGACAGCCCACCTTTAAGGCCATTTTGCTTGTTAAACTTTTTTGGTGACCTCTTTGCATAGCTTTAAGTGATTAAGAGTTTTAAATGACCCCTTATATACAAATGGATTGTACAAGTGCTGTTATTAATTTTGATTAAATTTCTTAGAGTTTCTGCATGTTTGTTCTTTTTCACCAGGTAGTGTCTTAGAAAGCCTGAATAATCATTCCAAAGAAGTCATTCCTATAAAACCGTTGGCTGAGTTCCTGCAAAAGATTGTTGTGAGCATTGCTTTCTATTTTCAGTTTATTAATATGAACCACAGAGGTGAATCTGGGGAAGGGGTGCAGAGGGTGTGCCACCCCTCCCCCCTGTGATGACCTGTGGCTTTTTTATATCACTAATGTCCTGAAAAAAATTTATTTTTGTCCCCGTGTCAGTTACGTCCTTCCTTAGTGGTGCACCCCCTCCTTAGAAAAATCCATATCCAAATTCTTGATTCTTCTCTGCACCCAGCATAGTTGATTGAGCAGTGCCACCTTTATTAATTTTTTTGCGACTCAGTTACTGTGCAACCCAAATAAACCCAGCTTTTCTGGATGTGATGTTTATTAGGGGTAATCTCTTATCAGTATTTTACTCTCCCTTACACTGCTTATTTTGGGGAGTGGTGCTTCATCAAGGGCAGTGCCCTATCAAGCAAACATAATAGTTAATTTTGCCTCCAAATGGCTTGTTAACCCTGAGACGTAAGATTCATATTTGAAATATAATGTAGACTTAATTTTATTTTGTAGGGTGGAAAATGTTTACCTTTTTCGTTTTCATTACATTGAAGAAAAAAGTTTGTAACCTTATTGTGATACCCAAGGGCGCAAATGAAAAAGACATTGTTCATACTGGATTGGAGTACACCATGGAACAATCAGCTAAGGTACATCTTCTCCGTGACGGATTCCAAGTTTCTTCTCAAAATTATGTCCGATTTTTGTCCTTAACTTGGTTGCTGGGCTGTCGACATATCGCTAGCATTCCCGGGAAAGACAAATAACTGGAAAACAAAGTCCACTTTTGGTCCGTTTTGGCATTTATTTCTCTTCTACAAATTTTTAGCTCAAATATGTAGTATTTTGCTTTGCGAGAGTTTGTGAGACTTCCTAAAGGTTTATTTTTTCGGGGAAAAGAGGTTATCCTCTCAGTTGTCCTCCCATTTTTCCTGACAGGTATCTAAACATAGAATCTGGTATGACCTATTGTGAATGAGAAAAGACTGTCCCCAAAAGAAAACAATGACCGGGAAACATCTTCTGAAAGAGTTTATGAACAGTGTTTCTAGAAGAGTGATGGGTTCGACTCTTGATTGCGTATTTTTCACAGTCTTTTTATCAATATGAAGTGAACTTAGTTTTTCCTTTTCCCATTCAGAAAATTATTTACTGTGCCAGTGAGCACGACCTCGGTCTAGACATTAGGACGGCTGCTTACATTATGTCCATGGAAAAAGTCTATGTAGCGTATAGCGTCGGAATAAACTTTATTGACAGGAGTAAAGAAAAAGTCAATAAAGGTTTATTTTTACACACAAAATGTCTACTTCCGTGAAACATGAAAACGAGGCTGAAAAACGTCATACGCCACAGGTAATTTGGTGTTGACAACTGAGTTGAAAACGTAAATTGGCCACCGTAAAGAGTTATAAGGCTGACGTTTCAAACGTTAGCCCTTCGTCAGAGCGTTAGCCCATCGCTCTAACGAAGGGCTGACGCTCGAAACGTCAGCCTTTTAACTCTTTACGGTGGCCAATTTACGTTTTCAACTCAGTTGTTAACACCAAATTACTTGTTATACTCTCTCACCGACGCAGCACCACAGTTTCTTTAGAAACTTATCCCCTTTATTCATTTGACAAACACCACAGTCTACAAAACATTCACTGTGGCTGATTACACATTTACGTAATCATCCTGTGAACATAGTACCAATGATAAATTCTTAGATAACTTTCCACTGGGCTGAATGTATACCTTGAATTTGTACGTACGATATTTTTTTATAGAAGCGTTTACTCCAGCGGTCATGTGTTGACAATGATTGTTGTGTGGTGTAAACAAGATAAAATGAATGTTTTTCTTGAATTCCAAATAACGTTCGGTAGCTGTCACTTGTTTGTGTAAAACTGCCCTACGAACTGCGACTCTTATTTATACTTGAATTTACCGTGATATAAATAGACATTCAAATAATAATAATAATAATGATAAAAATTAGAAATCCTTACATTAAGAAATAAATGAGAGCTCTTTTCCTATAATGAGTAATTTAGTGTTAACAACTGGGTTGAAAACGTAAATTAGCCACCGTAAAGGGTAAAAAAGCTGACGTTTCGAGCGTTAGCCCTTCGTCAGAGCGATGACGAAGGGCTAACGCTCGAAACGTCAGCTTTTTTACCCTTTACGGTGGCTAATTTACGTTTTCAACCCAGTTGTTAACACTAAATTACCTGCTATACTCTCCCACCGACGCAGCACCACAGTTTCTTTAGAAACATACCCCTTTATTCTTTTCCTATAATGAGCCCGGTTATGTTACTCTTAATTTTCTCAATTAAAAACCGTAGTGCTATGAGCCACCTAACTATCTCCCACTTGTTAATTAAATTTTTTTTTCTTCCCTGGACTCGTTGGCATACACGTTTATAATATACAGCAATATTGAATTGCTCGGTGAAAGTGATGAAAATGGCTGTCAGTGAGGATGCGGACAATTTAAGCACTCTCGACCCCAGAGCTTCCCTCTTACTTTCTCAGGCTGGGAAGCCGAAGTCGAGTAAAAACTCGCGCAAACTCAGTTCCAGGAATTTAGTTGCGTGACTTAAAGTAAGCGCCTAGGTCCGGGCTCTGCCATGTTGAGTAGATCGCACGGAACCGTAAGAAAGAGAGCCTCCTGCAAGACAAGAAAAGAAGTGGTATGAGCATAGATCTAAAATGTCCACCATTGAATATAATAGTTTGCTCTTCGAAATAAGCGAAAGGATCGACGAACTGAATGCACTCCAACGTCTTGTTTTTATTTGCCGCGGGAAGCTAACCCAGTCTGGCAGTGGAAACGTACACGACGGACTGTCATTGTTTAAGGAACTAGAGGAACACGGTTATCTAGGAATTGATCGCCTCAAACTAATGAAAGAGCTGTTGAAAAGTGTTAAGGAATGGTCTCTGATTGGAAAAGTTAAAAAATTAGAGAATAAGCGAAAAGAATACAAAGGCTTGCTTGAAAAGATTATCTGTGCACTCGACGAACTCAATGATATGGAACGGCTGATCACGTTATGTAGAGGAAATATTCGTGAAGGCAACATTGGTAACATTGTTGATGTTCGCTCCTTGTTCGAAGAGTTAGAAAATCAGGAAACTCTGGGAATCGACTGCCTCGATGTTGTCAAGGTCATTCTAGCAGAAACGGGAAAGACCGATCTTTTCAAGGAAGTGGAAGAGTTTGAAGAACGAAGAGACCATGAAGATGAATTCGAAGCAAAGAAAGGTATTTAGTTCTCTGTTTTCTTCATTCTTATAATAATGGCAGTACTCACAGAAGGTAACTATAGGATCATAGTTGAGTTCTGCGAAAGTGTGATCCTACAAAATTCCATTGTCTTCCACGAGATATTTAGGAAGGAATTTAATTTTCTCACGGCCGGTTTGGTCGCTAGTTTAGTTCGAAAACATTCCCATTGGACTGAATTTTTTTTATCGGTAACTGAGCTAGTGGTAGGCGTTTAGAATGCAGGGTTATGTTTGTGTTAGTGGGAAGTTGGTGTCAGAGTGTTTCTATATTTATGCGGCCGTTATTATGTTTAATTTAAGCATCACCCTGCAAGTGGCCAGACCCTTTCTTGTGGTGATGGTCAACAAGATACGACGTATTTTCCTTATAGGAAATGAAAAATGAAGCCCCTTGTAACCATGCCGCTTTTGTCTTTTACAAGCTATGGGTGAAAGCTTAGAGAAAAAATGTGATGTTTACGCCGCGCTCTGCTTCGCTTTTTGGGCACTAAAGCGTTACGAAATGTGAGACTGTTTATTTTCTTTCGTTGACACATCATAGTCTAGAAGTCTGAGAGTTTCTTTTGTGTATTTTCTTGTTCATAAACTTGTTTTATCCACTTAGATCTCAAAATTTCACAAAGTACGTGAACTTATCAGAGATTCTGCAGTGAATTAGCTAAAATCGATTGATAGCTTCGTTGTGCCTTTATTATCTTCGCCATCAGACAATTGATTGTTTGTTGCAGATTACATTCAGATTTAAAGAAACAAACTGCGATTTCTTTAAATGTTCAACAAACTGGTTTGTTTGGGATCGAGTATTATTCTGAATGATAATCCCTAACCCCAAACGCTTTCGTGGCTTTAAAGAACAGAAAATCTAAATTTAATAAGAGGAGCGTGGCGTGACATCCCGAAGATCGAGCGAGAGATAAACGCCAATCAGAGCTTGTGTTCACAGCTATACGTAGATGTTAAATTCTTGGACAAAGTAGCCTATTCCAACCTTGATCCTTGATACAAATAAGAAGAGAAGGAGGCTTCAGCTGTTGCACATCTCAATGGACAAAAACTGGGACAAAATATACCTCTGTGATCATGTTACTCCACACTGTGCAAACCTTGGCCTTCTTAATTCAACACACTGGGATTGCATGATAAAAAACAACAGCAACAACAACAAAAGAAATACAAATATCAACCTATCCCTTCTATTTGAGCCACATAACTATGCTATTCAAGGTATCGGAATAAATATATTAAGAAAATTTGGCCCATTATTAGTGGATGCAATTACTGGAATGAAATTCCTCTGCATGTATCTGTACAAAAAAGCATACACTGCACCAGTATTAGTTTGCTTGGTGCCAACATCTTGATTATTACCATCATTGTTATTCTCTTTGAAGAAGTATAACATGACACAGTTACAAGGGCTCTTAGTTTGTCTTGATCAACCTTTGTCCTCCCTATCTATTTATTATTTATATTATAATCCCTTTTTTTTATTTTATGTTTGACTCTTGCAAGTTTCAGCTTCATTATGTTACTTTTGTGGTATGATGAATGTTGTTACCTATGCGTATTCGCATTCAGTCTGATAAGGAAGGGAGAAATGTTACCACAACACTGAAAGTTTCACTCTAAAAAGTGCTGTTCTATTTTGATGACCCTTCATTCCAAGGGACTACCTACTTTTATGAGCTTCCTTCTCAACCTTAAAATTGGCATATCCAGCAAATTACTGAGCTAGTTACTTGCCACACTTTGGATGAATATCCAGGAAAGGAGCAAAGTCTTTTGACCCACATTTGCTGTTTCTTTTATTTTAGAACAAAGAGCTGCTCTTATGTCATCTGTGAGAAGCACACTAATGGGAGGTGAGCTTTTTAAAATGTTATTTGTGTTTTTCACTAATTTAAAGGTTGATGTAGGATTTCCTTTCTGTCTCTGGGACATAACATGAAGAGACAATTAGGAAAGAGACTGGTGACTTTAAGAAAAAAACCTTCGTTTCCAACAGAGAGCCAGTGCGAACTAAATCACTACTCATGATTTTCTACTCATGACTTTCCTGACTTTTCAGTGGTAAACATAAAAACAGTATTCAAAGTGGTTGCTGGTGGCCTTACAGTCGTTTCTGCCATGGAGGTACTGAGTCGTTGGTCCTCATTTGATCAACTGGTCGCTGCCGTACAAACCTGTGTGCTTCCAGCCGGTACTAGTCTGGTTCAAATTACTGATGGCTGCGTGTGCCTTACAGTTCAAGCTGAAAGTTTATCAGCTCTTAAAACTTTGTGGAAATTGTATCAGGATAGAACCCTTCAGAAACGACTGTACGATTTCTTTGTCACTGAGATGAGAGAACTCGCCGAGGGAGAGGATGTGGAGGTGAATGTCACCATCGATGAAGGCGAATATCAGAAAGCTTGTATCGAGCTTATACCAGGGGTCCAAGGTAACTCAGCGTTGCTATGTTCGACGTACAATTAGCAAATTTCTGAGCCCGGATTATCATATGGATAATCGTCGGATCATATCGATGGATCGTGTTTAGCATTCCTTGATACATATTTTATTGTCTGCTTTGAGGGTAAAAAAACCAAAAGGAAATAAAACGAAGGGCGTAACTGTCTACCGCATATTACTGTGTTTGTGACCGTTCTCTATGTAGAATCCCCCACCCCCCACCGGAAAAAAAGTGAACCACCCTTATTCAGGGTTTTCAAGTTTCTTGGGGTTTTTTCATGAGCTTTCCCAACTTCTCTTCTTTTTCTCAATGCCTCAAATAGTTATTGCATGAACAAAGTCGTACAGAAAACTGTTTATTACGGATACGGTTGCTACGGAGGACAGAGGCCCATTAGTGCTTAACAAGTAAATTTTTATTTTGTCCGTTTTATCTAATGTGTGATGGATGGAAAAATACAAGTAATGAGCTCGGACAATTAGAAGGAGCAGATTGACTTCTCTGTGTATTCTTAAATATTTCTTGGTAATGATATTTTTAACTTAATATTGCAAGTTCGAAGTCAGACTCGGGCACTATTTCTCAACAATTTACCTAAAGTTGTATCTTATCCTACCACTTACCTTTAGGGCTTTCCTTTGAAGAATAAATTTATCGAGCTAATAATATCAGATTTATAGTTATCGTTCATTTTTATTTTATTACTTTAAGGAGGTGCAACCATTGACTATGTTGAAAGAAGACGACGAAACTCCGACTCAGCTGTGTATTTCAACGCAAAAGAATTGCCACTGTCGAGGCTTAAATATCTAGAAACTGAAGTGAAATATCTCCACAACAGTATCGCACTTCTGGAAGAAAAAAAAGAGAATTTGGGGTCGCATCCTTTCGAGCAAAAGGAAATTGCACCTACAAGATCATCCGCTGAAAATTTTGGTTAGGACTGATTTTGAAATTGAACACTCTAAGCTCGAAGTTTGTTTTCTTTTTTCGTTTTTCTAGTTCTTTTGTGGTATGCCGTTGTCATGAATTACCATCCTCAGCATTTCGTTTTGATTGTTATGTTACCAAGTTCCTTAAATAGTGTGAAAACTTAGATCACCACTGAAAACCGCCTTGGCGAGTTTGGTTCCCTCATTAAATATTACTCTTATTATCATTATTGTTATTATTATTATTATTATTATTATTATTTTATTTTTTATCATCATCATCATCATCATCATTATTATCATAAGTTATCACGGCTCTAACTGTGAGGTAATCTGTCTCAGATTACAAACCATGGGACCCCAAGAAGATGGAGGAAGACACGATAAAGACGGAAAGATCAGAAGATCTCGAAAGTAAACTAAAAATGAAGTTAATGGGCGATGAAAAAATGGATTTTGTTCAGTGGTATATAGAGAATGTGCACGAGACATTTAGCATAACGACTGAGGCAAGTGAGAGCGGTTTGGGAACACGCACTACTGTGTCCGAAGAGGAAATAGAAGACGTGAGAGGTAAAACTAACCGTTGTTTCGGTCGTTATTTTCAATAAAACAATGTTAACGGTGACTCGTAGCAAAAGGAATAGGGTTGTCAGTCTCAGCTTATTGCAAGAAGTCGCATCCAAATTTGCATTTGAAGGAGAAAGAAGTATTTTCATATTTGTTTTCATTTAAATTTACACGCAGTTATGGGCGTAGCACTCGAGCCGCAAAAAAGATCATCAATGTTGCTTTTCGTATATCCAATAAAAATAAACCTATTAGAAGACTAACATAGGGTACGGTCCATTAGCGTAATCACCGCCTTTCTAAAATGTATTCTCTTCTGGAGAGATATGGCACCCTTTCCACCACGTCAACAGCGATTTAGGCCGTTCATGCAACCAAAATAATCACTCGACAACAACTATTTAATTACCGACGGATGAACATTATACTGCGTGGTGCTGCGTGGTGATTCGCTCAGGCAGACAACCATTGACAATTTTAATGCGCTTAGGGGAAACACAAATGTTTCCAATGCCAAAGGTGAACGTTTTACAAACTGCCTTAGTAACCCTTCATTATGTGTTTTCTTTTGTGGACATTTTCCGCCCAAACATCAAAAGAAAAAAAATGTCCATCCTTCGGAAAATGCTACATTACACCCCATCTCATTATGAAAACAATCTGTCCTCAAAGGTCACTCCTCACGGTCCCAAAGGTGGTCTTTGTGGAGAAATTCTACCGTAATCAAGTGTTTCTAATCGATATTTATTCTTTTAACCCTATTCAGATTCCAGTGGATTTTTCCTTAAAGATCTGAGGAAAGAGTCAATTCACGAACTGGATAGGAGACTTTTTGTTGACAAAGTCGGGAAGGAAAGGGTTTTTCAATTTTTTGGTCTGAAAATGAACTTGATTCCTTCCGAGAATAGTTATGTTTGTCCCATGAAGTGGATTGCACAAAGCTTTCCAAACACTCCTGTTGACCTAATAAGGCAATGTTTCGAGGCTCTGCAAATGAACGATCTTGTTGCCTTTCTGAAACCAATTTCACTTCGTCCTGTCCTTTCCTCGGGAGAAGTAGAGACGTTACGTACTGGTGATCTTCCCACAAAGTCTCACAACAATGTGTTAGTGCTGGTAGTAAATGACAGTACGGACAAGGACCTCGATCAAAAGATGGAGGGATTTTTCAAAGAATTAAATTCACAGAACAATGTCACAGTAATTGGATCTTCTTGCTCAGAAGAAAACCGCAAGGAACTGAATGATTTGAAAATGAAACAAATGCGTAAGAAAGAACTAAGCAAGGAGGTAGAGGCATGTAACTATTCTCTTCACAGTGCAACCAGCAAAAGTAAGATGATTACAAAGGAATTTGTGCTCTCTGCCCTGAGGTTTAAAGTCGCAGAACTTGAAAAAGAAATGGAGATGAACAAACCGCTAGTGGAGGTGCAACTGAAAGTGAATGAGGAGAAAAGGAGGATCATAACGTCTACAATGGACAACTGGATTCAGAATCAAGGTTGGTATAGAGTATCGACTGTTTGAAATAGTTCTGGTTTGAAACGCACTTTGAGGCTCACACAACTGGGAGCAGTTTGAAGAAAACGAAACCACAACAGCTGAGGAATTGATACACGAAACAATCATCATGACTTGACGTGATCTCGTTTCGTTATTATGTCGCCAAAGTAAAACATGCTTAACACAGGAACCGAAAGGACGGGGTACAATTAAGTGTATTTTCATTTCTCACTGGCTCAGTTAGGGTGATTCCTCAGAAAAATAAGTTATGACAATTTTTTTAAACTTTCCTTAAATGTTCCTCTCTAATGTCTGTCTCGAAAAACGTAATCAAAAAGATAAGTCACAGGGCTTGTTTAAGACATATGATGGGCCAAACTTACCCCATTTAAGTCTGTACTGGCACTAATTACGCGCGTCATTTCATCGGTTAACGGTACATTTTGCTGCAGCTGAAAACGATGCAAAAAAATTCGATAAGTAGAAAGTATCGAGCGTAGGGAACATTTTGATAATTTGTGGGAAAATTACGCAAATTTAAACGACATCGATTCAAATCGTTTCTCGACTCGTTCCTTTCAAGGTCATAATTTGCATAATCGAGTAACGGGCTTCGTGCACGCTTTTAGCTTTATCTTTTTCCCTTTCAAAAGATTTTTTGTTAATTTCCTCAATTTAAAGGGGGTAATCTGTACACCAAAATTATGCAACAAAAAATATGGGTCACCGTGCTCGTTCAAGAGCTAAAGACCATCGCACCTTTTTACCTGGTCCATTGGTTAAAAAACAATACTACGTTCTTGGAATGTGCGCGCTTATTAGCCTGATTACGTTATTCTTATGCGCAGTACAGAATGCGTAGGCAATACTGAGGAACCACCTTAACGTCCCCTTGTCCATGACAATGAGAGAAAGATTACGCATAAAATATTTATCAGTGACGCAAATTCGTATTGAGACAAGCTTTTCGGCTTGGTGTCGTCAGCAATTGCTTGCTTTTCTTTGTCTCTGTTCTTTTTTTCATATTTCATTGTTGTTATTTCCGTTCAACAGAGAAATTCACGGCGGTTTTTCTTGCTTTCATCATCGATGAAAAGGAATCAATTTACGATTATGATGTTTTAACAGAATGTGTGGCGTCCAAGTTGTCATCACTTCCATACCACACGAAAATCGTGGTTGGTGCTCCGAGGTGGATTATCATTAATGAGGTTCCCGAGATGCTATCTATTGGTTCTCCGGACTGGCCAATTAACTCCTCAATCTTCAATTCGATGATTGAGATGTTCGTTGAGCGATACCACGAATTGGATCTCGTTTCAATGATGAGAGAATTTTTAAGAACAAAGCAAGTTGTGAGTGACATCCGAAGCAATCTTTCTACTCTTCCAAGGTTTGAGAAAAGGAAAGAACAGGAGCTCGAGTGAAGCTAGTCATATGTGAATTAAATGAGACACTGTTGTTGTTGGGCGGTAGAGGATTTTTGTTGTATCACGATTTTATATGATCCCCTCTTCACTGGCAGTTAATCGACTGATCCCCCTCCGATTCCTCCCCTAAAAAAAAAAAAAAAAAAAAAAAAGAGTAATCTTCCCAGAATCCTCCACTCCCCCTCCCCAGGTGATGAATAATTACTTGTTCCCGACAGAATATTACGAATGCTAAAAATATCAGGGTTGTTCAATTTATTTGCCTATATTAGGGAGCAAATGCTATTTACATTCAAAGGTGTTCATCATGTAGTTGCGGACAAATTTATTTGCAAAAGGACGATGAATGAAACCTGGGAAAGGAGTATACCTGAATCGCCTCTCAAGGGAATATTCTTTAAACGTTTTTTTTTTTTCGCAATTATCCTCTCGGTGGTTTGAGTTAATGTTGTCTCTTACTTAGAGCTAAGCAGTAGAGTTGCACAGGTATCATAGCGCGAAACTAGAATGAACTTAAGCATGCGTGCACGCAAGATTCTCTTTACTGGCATTTACATCTTTCGTCCACTTTGGCGCTTTGCCCGCTGCGTTTCTTCTCCAAGCAAAGGAAAAATAAAAATCACTAGTATCTATAGAGATCGCCTCTTATGAGTAAGATATTGATTCATAGCTTTTAAGGTTGGTAGGTTGGTGGATGGGCACAGAATTCATAAAGCTGACATTTATTACACGATGTAACCGAGTATCCAAAGCTGATCTACACGAACAAACAATAGTTCAGATAACTATATTAAAATACCAGGTATGCGAAATTCAGCTATAGAGACTAGTTTTGATGTGTTAATTGGAATTTTTGTAACAATGTGACAATAATATTTAATAGAAAATGAATGAAGTGACTCAGAGTTTTGCTCGCATTTGTTGTTGTCCAGATTAGTATCTGGGGAAAAGGCAGTAGTTCCTTTCACGAGATTTAAAAACGTATTTAAAAGCAAGGTTCGGTTTTTTTAGTCTAATGAGCCCGAATGTTGTGTTTGCGGTAGAGTAACCATTGAACTTCAAGTTAAATTGGTGAGAATCCACAAAGGCTTAAAAAGCAAAACGATAATAATTCTTTGCAAACAATTTGAATTCAACTGAGGTATTGTAATGATTTCCATGAGATTTATGCATTCAGCCTTTCTTCACTCTCCTTCTTATCACGCTGTCCTTGTTGTTTCCCAGCGTGCTCTGTTGTTGCATGCATTCTTCCTTTCGTTATTCTCTACACTTAGCACCATTGTTAGTGCTCCACGAAAATATTTTATCCAGTCGCTCTTCAGGAGCATTTGAGTTCTTTTACTATGCATGTAGATGTCCGATCGGTTTTACCAATATTCTCTCTTTTTTCATTTTTCTAAAGATATTTGATTAGCTCTGACAGATGTAAACAAAATTAGGGTATATAGTGGGACCTGTAGGAGGCTAAGAATAAGCCAACTTTAAAAACAAAATACCTGAAGGGGAAGTAAGGAAATTTGCGTTTAATTTTACAGCTTCCTGTTACAGATGATGCTAAAGGAGTAGCTATTTTAGTATGTTAAATCATTTTTTCTTATGGGTCTTGATAATTACACCATGTAAATCTAAAACTATCCTTTTAATTCTCACACTTTCATGCTTTACATCTTCTCTTGTTGTCACTATTTATCATAATTAGCATTGTTCTACTTACTATATAATTCAACTTCCAACGCTTTGTACAGCAATTAACTGAAGATGACAGAAGTTTCCGTCGAAACATGTTTTACAGACTCAAAAGTTTTGTCGCTTTCGTTAAATTTTTTTCTTTAAATTTTTTTCTAACATGATCCAGATAAAAAGAAGTAGAATTCATGAAGCCCCTCTCGATACTTTTTAATACCTTTTACAACACTTTGCACTTTGATCAGACTGCATGTCATAGCCTAATCTTTTAACAGACGCCATGTAATTTAGGGAACAAGGCTACGCCCCAACACCGGCTGAACCCTTTCCCCTAGTCTATGCAATCAAGTCAAGAGAACTTACGTCATTATTGTCTTTATCGCCATTAATGTCGTCATCAACGTCGCTAATATTTCCGCCCTTGTGGTAACCTTTATCTGTTTCACTCTGCTTTCACGTATTTGATGTTAGCTTCTCTCTCGTCAATTCGTCATCTAAAAAGACCAAAGTATTGATGGATATTACAGGCTTGTCAACAAGAATTCAACCAGAGGAGGAAATCAATGCTGTTTACAACATTAAATGAGACGATTCAACATTAATATCCTTTCCACTGCATCAATCTTCCTGCTAATTGAAAAATTTGCGGCTCTTCATTCTGTTCTTTCTCCGGAGGAAGTAAAGAAATTTAAGACTGGTGATCTCCCCACAAATTTTTATAGCAATACGTATATGGTTGTTTTGATAATCAATGACAGTGCAGAAAGTGTCGGATTGGTTTATGAGACTTCAAATTGTCAAATAAGGTTTCAAAAGGATGGAAAGTTGAATTTTGTTTCGATCGTTGTTTTCAAATCGTACACATTTGAAAGTACTGCAAGTAAAAAAGAGTTCGTTCATCAATGAAAAGTGATGAATAATTTATCGCCAGCAACAAAGCTTTGAATCTACGGGAAGACAAACTCTTTAAGAAATGGATGAGCTTTAAGCATATAAAAAAGAATTTCCAAAACTAACTTTCATTTTCATCATCTGACTTGCTCCCATAGCGACGACGCTTTGCAGGAATCGCTGCCAGTACTTGAGGAGCTGAAGGCTGTGAACCAAGAACAATGGTACAGTTGTTAAATACAGCACCAGAGAGGGTGAGAGTAGCCAACCTGTCAAACAGGTTCCTCTTTACAGCACAAAATAACCACCTGTCCAAATAACCGTACAGTATCGCAAGATATTTGTACTCTATTCCCGCGTTATTAGTGCTCTCCTTTGTGTAGTTGGATAATAAAATGCATTTCAAAGCAGCCCCTCGATCTCAGCGTAGTCTGTCTATTAATCGGAAACAATTACATTGCGAGAAAAACTGAGCTGGAGTAGGCGGGCCGGAAAGAGATATAACAGACAAAATCAGGGAGCCTGAACAGTTAAAGGGGATCTAAGCTTTGCACGATTTCCCGCCTTAGCAATGACGTGCAGATTGACATGTGATACAGAAAAATTCGAATTACTCGGAGGCGAAGGTTCGAACCACTTGGCTTTGTCTGAAGTCTCTGTTTTCCACCCGCCTTTTCCTCTTACATTTCTATACAATGCCGATTTTACTTTCTTTTTAGTGGTCGTTTCATCACTTGCTCGTCGATCTGATAAGAGAAAGAGTGATTGAGGGTAAAAAACAACAACAACTATACAGAAAGTTGAATTTCCAAAAAGCTCGGCAAAATAGAAAAATCAAATAAGAAGTTGATGACAGATGGTTTACAGAGAGAAAAGCATATAGCTTTAAGCAAAGAAAAAGGATTTTTAAAATAGAAATAAGAGCTACATAAAACAACTTCGTCGTGACTAAAATTTCTTAGGCAGAAATAAAGGTTGAAATGTTGGGCCATATAAGTTTTCGTATGAAAGGGTTCACTATCGTGGGCGTTCCCGTGGCATTTTATTGAAAAAAAACTTACTTAAGTATTTGAACTCTAGATCATAACAGTTTCCATGAGGTAGCTAGTTTCGTGGTGTGATATTAGTAAACGAGCTTTCGAGTAGTGAGCATCAGTTGGTATACGTCATGTTTTCCATGATTCGTAACCTACATGCGAGAAGTTTTTATTTGGTTTTTTGTCTTTTTACACGTTTCCGATAATATGTTTCTTTTACAGAGAAATGTACCTGTATTACGGTGTTTTTTTATCATCAGTGAAGATTCTTCCATTCTCAATACCTCAACTCTGAATAAAGTTGTGGCAAAAACGTTGGAATTGTTTCCGAATCCCACTAAACTTCTTGTTGGTGCACCTTCCTAGAAGTGGATTGGAAGCCTTCCTGAGAGACTAACTGTAAAGTTTTCAAATATACCCGCTGATTTCTTTGTTAGTTCGATGATTGAGATTTTCAACAAGCGATGGTACACTTTGGATCTTCTATCAATGATGCAAGAACTGAAAAGGACTCTGGAACTGACATCAAGTCGATACATAGTAAATGTTTAAAGCAAAATGTCGTCTCTTCCTCGGTTTGAGAAAGAAAATGATCAAGTGTGTGTAGAAAACTAATCATATGCTAATTAAGTTGACATTATTTCCGAAAAGACATGCATGATAAGATCCTTTTTATGATGGCTACTCAGCGAATGTCAGTTCTAATTGCATTCATGAGTGATCTTCAGTGTACATGCAGCAACGTCATTCTCTATTTCGTAAGTATACGCGAAGTTAAGAATATGATATTTTGTGCGCCACCCTATAGTTTTTAAAGGACGCGTGTGCGATCTGTATATCCTTTATGCATATCTCAAACATATAATTGCGTATAGGTTAACTTTGTATTCGTTTTAAAAAAAGTTCAAAAGTATAAATGCAATTAAAACGAAGAAAACTGTTGTAGCTATAGAATTATAATGTAGTTGAACCACGGTCAGGGAACCTTACTAGTTTTGCACTCAGTCGATTCGTTCCCCGAGCCTAGAGCATTCGTACTCAGTCAGTTTAGCTGTACATGTTTCCCATGTTAATTATGATAAAAGTAAGGTCGGTGTCTTATGCCGGTTAAATAGCAATATAATTTACGTTAGATAAGCTCTGTCTATGCTTTAATTGGCTGTTATTGTAAAATCGAGGCAATAATTTAGTCGTTATTGTTACGAAGGAAACAAGTACATACAACAGAATTTTACTTATGACTTGTTCCCTCGACTCTTTAACCAACTATCTGTTCACGTGCTTGGGTGTGAGGTATTTCGTAAGATCTCGTGGGTTTTGATCGTCACTAAATGTTAGGACGAGTACGAATCAACTCACTCATTTTTTTTTTTCGATTGGCTGAAAAGGTAAAGAATAATTATTAGGTTACTATCTCTCTTGTGATTGGAATGTTTACAAGATGAAAATTTTAGGTTTTTTGGCCCAGTAATGTTTTGTTTCTATAAAGGTTTGTGAATATTTATTTACATTTCATTTATTTGTAAATTTTTATTAATTTGAATTAGCTGTTATTATTAACGGAAATTTTTGGCGCATTTGATCTTACATTTAGGTAATTTGCGCTATATAATTTCTAATAATTATCATCATTATTATTATTATCACTGTTATTATTATTATTAGCGGTAGTAGTATTATCACCATTATTATTAGTTTTATTATTATTATACTTATTATTATTTTGTGACTGACTGGGCAGATCATTGCCTTATGGTCATTGTATAGCCAGACCCAAGTCTCTAACAATGATAATAACAACAAAAACAAAAAAGCAACAGAATCAACAAACAAACAAACAAATTGACAAAACAAAAAGTTCATAACCTTTGAGTTTCAATCGAATTCTTTATGTCACCGACCTCTGTAAATGCGAAAAGTTGTATGGAATACAAACTGGTCTGTCATACACAAAATGTTGTGTTGGGTATTTCATAATATAGTTGTTAATTTGCGAAGTGGAATTGAATCATGAAGGTCAAGACAAGGAAAGAAGGGGTATTGGCATATATTTAAAATGTCCACTACTGAATATAATAATTTGCTCTTCGAATTAAGCGAAAAGATCGAAAGACTGAATGCACTCCAACGTCCCCCCTCCCCGGTCCCAGGTGATAAGTAATTACTGGTTCCTAACAGAATTCTAAGTGCCAACCCATAGTTGTATTCTTCTTGTTTTCAAGCACCAAAGAAACGGTGACTTTTGATTGATTTTACCTACGAAATATTTTTAAACATATTGTGCTCGTATTAGGGAGTTTCTTGACTCAATGTTTAGGAAATATTATTTGCATCCAAATATGTTTATCTAGCAGTTACGAACAATTTAAAATTTATTTGCAAAAGTAGGACGAATGAAACCTGGGAAGAGTATACACCTGAATCTCAATACCTTCTCTTTATGATTATCTACCAGGCGTTCAGTTTTAATGTTGACTTTCCCGTAGAGCTGAGCAGGATGGAGGTAGGGGTAACCTGCAGCGAAGTTTGTAAGACCACAGTGAAATGAACTCGCGTATGCAGACACGCGAGAGTAGTCTCCTTACTGGCATTTACATCTTTTGTCCACTTCTACGCTTTTGTCGCTTCGATACTTCTCCAATCATAGAAAAATGGGTCGAGGGGTCGCCTTTAACGAGTAAAATCTTGATCGATACCTTTTTAGGTTGATAGGTGGGTAGATACAGAATTTATAAAGCTGACATGTATTATACCAAAGTTAACTCATACCAACAAACAATACTACAAATTAAATTGTAACAGTACGGCATCAACACTTAGTAAAAAATTATTAAGTGATCCTAAGCTTTGACAGCATTTTTTTGTTAGTAGCTATGAAAAAGGCAATAGTTCCTTTAGCAAGATTTAAAAACTCATTTTAACAAAGAGTCGATTTTTTTTCTGGTATATATGTGATGATTAGCACACATATGCTACATACCGTGTTATCGCAAATCGAGGTGCAGACATGTCTCTGTGTAAGTGAAATTAATCCTTGAGAACGAAAGCCCTATGAATCCTCACAAAATCATTACAGTGTTATAATCACGGCTATTGGTATTGCGGAAGAATAACTCACGTGCTTCAAGTTAAGTTATACTTTCTATAGCTTTTTGTAGTTTACTCTGATCAAATTGCGTGTCACAGGCTACAGAGGAGAAAGTGGAATTTTTTATAGATGCCATCTAATTTAGGAAACAAGGCTGGGCCTGGGCTGAACCCGTTGCCTCCCTCTTTGTTACGAAGAAAAATTACTTCATCATCAGCTTCATCGCCTCCATCGTTGTCATCTTCCATCTTCGTCGTCCTCGTAATTAGTTTCTTTGTCACCTACATTTTCACCCCCGTGGAAATCTTCATCTGTATGGTGAGCATTTCTAACTTCGATGCTGGAGATTTTAGCCAAACGCTGGCAAACGATGGACATGATAGCAATGATAAGAGAGTTAAAGAGGACTTTAGCAGAAAAGCGCATAGAAAGGAGAAACAGCCTCTTGCGAAGGATGGCAAAAGTCTCGACTATATTTACTATAGACGAGAATTAGTCTTTTCCTCTTAGGTTCAAAAGGAAATTTTCTCTAAAAATCTCAATGGATCTCATTTTTTTTTCGAAATAATCACATTAATTACATAAAATGAGAGATTCCTGTGCTAAAACCACGTAGAAGCACCTTCAAACTGATTCAAAATGATAATTTATTTACTACCAAGAGATTATAATCTCTTGTTACTACACAATGTTAGTAAAAAGTAGTGTTTCGTCAGCTTCGCTTCCTTCCATATTTCTCTTTCAAAGATATAGTAACGACAGTAAACGGTTGGCAGAGTTTGACATTTTCATGGAGCCCGCTTGGAAACAGTGAAAGAAGAACTAAGTAAATTTGTTCTCTCTTTTGTCTAAACATCATCGTTTAAATTTTCCTAGATGTTCTGAAAATTCTGTTTGACTCCATAAATTGCACAGAAAGAAACTCCGGATTTTTGTTTTAAGCCCTTCTTCTACTTGACTTCGAGCCTGACTTGGAACCAGCTTAAAAATGGAAAGTGCTCTATCATAAAAGCGTTCGGGAAAACAATAGAATGAAATATTTCCCGGCCTTAGAAAATATTCTCTGTTTCTATCTTGTTAAGTCATGAAACTTTTGAAGAACCCGTCAAGCTTTGACTGCCCTCTTCAAACAGCTTATTTTCAAAAGCAAACTGAACACGTGCACTCAAATCACCCCGACATACCTGGGAAACGTTAGACAATCGTTTTTTTAGTTGTTGTTTTGTTTGAAGACTAACAATATAACCAGCTGCAGGTCAGAGAGTCTCGGTAAGTATATTCTCTTGCATCAAGTTATGTTTACTACTTGCTTTCTCTTGGCTGCACGAGGAGACAAAAAAAATATATCTATATTTATGTGAGTTTGGGCATTTATGGAAAGGAACGAACATCTCAGTGGCTAATTGAGATTTTTATTTTTTTATTTTTTAATGGATAGAAATAATTAAATTTGGTACCAACATATTTACCAAATGTCATGCGAGCGACCCAGACTATGTCCACTAAGACTATGTCCCCTAAGAAGATTCCACTGAGAAATTCGCGTGACCTTCTTGAACTGGTGGTCACGAACGATGTTGAGTCATTATGCGTCATGCATCACGCAGCCTAAAAGGGTTTGAGTTGACTCAGGGAAGACCACGACATGAATTGCAAGTAGACGAAATTTACCGAAAACATTTAAGTCAGCTCCTCATCCTGGTACTAAATTGAATCTAGTGTGATATGTCTTGTATTTTATGATATATCCATAACCGCGACTTGAAACGTTGAAGAAATATTATGGAGAAATTAACCTTTGGGATTCAAATGTCCTCCCGCAATACTTGGTCAAATAGTCTTGATCACCATAATATAATCTCTTATTGGGCCCACCGGAGTCTGGTACCCGCCGATTACTTGACAACGACTACCCTGAAGTCTACGTTGGCATTCCTGTCTCGTCCTCAGAGCCCACTGTACTGAGTGCAAGACCTCTGGGGGATCCCACTGAGGAGGTTTTATATCTTCGTGACTCTTGGGGCGTGAAGTGTTTATGTCCGACATCAACTCTTTTTAGCGAACGAACTGCATGGAAAAATCGTTCTATTTGCCGTAATGTCAGCTATCGAATATAGAGGCTTGCTCTTTGAGGTAAGCCAGAGATTCGACGAACTGAATATGCTGAAAAAGTTGCTATTCCTGTGCAAGAAAAAGCTAACTCCTGGGGGCAACATCGAGAATGCCTTGGCGCTGTTTGAGAGATTGGAGGAACAGAAATATCTGGGAACTGATCGCTTGAAGTTACTGAAAGAGCTTTTGGAAGAAGTTGGAGAGTGGTCCCTTTTAGAGAAAGTGAAAACGTTTGAGAACAAAAGGAAGGAGTATAAAGCTTTGCTTAAAAAGGCTAGGTGTGCACTCGACGAACTCAATGATCTGGAACGGCTGATCAAGATTTGTGAAGGCAAAATATCAGAAGAAAGAGAAGGAAACATCAAAGATGTTCAGTCGTTGTTACAAGGACTAGAAGATGAAGAGATTCTGGGAATAAGCTGCCTTGATATTTTGAAAGATCTTCTGACAGCAACAGAGAGAGGCGATTTGCTTCAGGAAGTGGAAAAGTTCGAAGAACGAAGAAATCGGGAAGCTAAGTTTAAAAGACAGAAAGGTGAGCTAGAGGCTGCTTTCTTGTTTTTATAGATGAGCTAGCCACTACAAACGTCGACACCGTCATGATTAGTATGAATTTTAACAGTTTTTCCAGTTTGGCTATACTTTTCATCATTCCTGTTATGTTCTGTTTTGTTTTTGAACACGGAATGCGAGTGTTAGCTGTGCTTGATTTTTATTACCGTACGTAAGCTTGCAATCTAACTAAGTGTGTAAATCTTCTAAGTTAGAGTGTCCATTTCGTTTTTCGTCTCTGCTTACGTTATAATAACGTCAAATACGGCGCTTGACATGTTTACAAACCTTTGTTTGGATCCTCTGTTGCTACAATGTATGTTCCGAAATTTTACTCGCCATTAACGAAAAGAAGCTAGAGACAAGTCCCGGAAATGATCGGACATATACAAACTGGCAGACGGTGTGACAGCTTAAGCTCTTTTGCTCTATGTTTTGTATTCTGATACAGCACGCTGTTTCAACTAATGACAGTGTGCGTTATATCCGAACTTTATTATAAGGTAAAATATTCTTCGAAGTAGACAACACTGACAAGTTATCAATAGAATTGAATTATTGTTTGGAACATCACTAGTGCTGTAGTCAGCCCTAGAGAGTTGTCCGTAGAAGCACAAACGTTTGGTTGTTAAATTTCTAGGACTCTGTTGTTTATAAACTGGACAGTCTCCAGGGTAAAGAAATTTTGGCTCCATTTGGGGTGACTGGGTGACGATCTGACTGCAGTCACTAACAAAATTCAATGTGTTTATGCATAATAATTTTAAAGCTCATCAAAAAATCAAATCAGCAGACCAGAATTAATGTAATGTTGGCTGGATAGAACTATCAAGTCAGTGAAAAAATTATGAAAATGTACTTCAGGAGTAAGAGAGCACTATACTGCATGTACATGTGGTTTTGTGGAAGCCATGAAAGAAATTCTTGAAATTATGGTGGATGCATGAATTTTTGGTCTTCATTGGGGCAGGCTGTGTTGCTGGCAGTGTGTGCTTTGAATGGTTGAGAGATAGAAAACGTGTGGTGAAGTAATAAGTGGCTTTGGAAGGAAAATAATTAAAGAAATCCCATGCTGAGGTTGGTAGGGAGGGGGGGGGGGAGAGTGGATAGATTTGAGTTTTTCCTGCAAATCAATAAGCGGGAAATTTCTATTGGCCAAGAATACTGCTATGTGTCAATCTACTTTTCTGGTTTCTAATCTCAAGGGAGATGCACAGAACATGAAATAGAAAATGTTGAAGGCAAAAACTAGGCAGTTGTGCCACCTACACAGATCATCAAACATCCAGAAAAATCTCTAGCTATACAGAAAGTATTCACAGGATAGTCCACAAGCCCCCTCTTTGTAAATCAGTATATTTACTGAAAGATAAAATAATTTTTAAAGTAGCTGACCTTTGATCAGATTGAATATAATACCAATGGGTGAATACAGGTTTCTTGGGCAAAAGTTTTATTCAAATTCTGACTTATAATTTCAGGACGAGCAGCTGCTTGTGTAACTTCTATTGCAGACTGGATTAAAGGTATTTATTCAAAATTAGGTTTCCATCACTATATAACAGCTTATTTATTTCCTAATTACATTCCACACTTTCTTAACAATACTAAAGTTGCATAATTAACTTGAAATACATTATTTTCTTAGTCAAGGGGCTAGCTTAAACATATGCTACTTGAGTGGGCATTTTTTTCTATAAGCTTATTTCGTAAGTTAATCAAAGACTGAAATATTACTTGTGCAGCTTTAAGTGTAACATCTAAAATAATACTAGCATGGGCCACAAACAAAAACAGTATAAGCTGAACTTTTGATCTAAGAATTTATTTTCAACTGGGTCAGTTTTACCCTTTTACTTCCAAGATCTCATTAGTAATTTTCTTTTACTTTGGAGAATTTTTTCTTGGATGAACTAATGATTGCCTCATTGGTATTGTATTTTGTAAGGAGAACTTCTGTCTTGGTCGCACACGGGAGTTAAATGGTTAAGAGGATCTAGGGAAGCCACTTGGCATTGTGGATAATTTCATTTAAGAATGATGCCTTTTATATTATTTGATGTTAATTGATATTATCATATGATGGTCAATCATTAGTCATAGAAAGCTGTTAACTACCATTTGTTATACTTAATTTCAATTATTTCATTGGCCATAAACAGTATGTGTACCCAAAGCTGGTCTTCAGCTTTCTGTTATAATATCCAAAATCAACATGGCTTCCACATAAAGTCTTACATTTGCATGCATTGGTAATACTGAGTGTGTGGAAAAGATTAGATTTATCCATATGTTTGCAGTGAAACTAGATAAGGAGTTAATTTGACTTAGCCTTGCAGCAATCCCTGCCACTAGTCATGTAAATTGAGACTTGATGACTGACTCTTGTATCTTACTGTTTCTTGAACAATTAGTCTACAGAGCTGGTTGCTTTGAAAGTTTTAACCAGTGAAAGGAGTGGGGAAATAGAATTTTCACCTTCAGGCCCTGTTCTAGGGTTATTTTTTTTTTTCCCACCCCTTTTTCCTTTACCCTTCACAAGATTTCAAACTGATTGGTCTCTCTTGGTCTTCAAAATATGAAGAGGGGGGGGGGTAGATGAATAGGTTCTTGAGCTAATTGCATTCACAGCAATTTGTTTTGATGGAGTCTGTCTTATTGGCTGGGGAAGGGGGTCCCAGTAACAAATTCAATAGAGGGCTGGAGCTTTTTCTTAATCCTTGTGGAAGGTAGACTAATAAAACATGCAAACTGAAACAAGCCCTATATGATCAAACCCACACTCCCCACCTCATGACTGGCTTCCAAAAAATGCCTAACTGAAAAAAGATCACTGAGAGTATACAGTGTAATAGCTTTCCCTTGGAATGACACAGGTTCTGTCAGAAGCTGCTGCATTTTGGCCCTTTCTGCATAGCTTTAAATTTTAAAGGAAGTCGGTTGTGGAAAGTTGAATTGATAAGAGATTTCTTTATTCATTGGTCCATTTGTTTTCAGCACCGTGTGTTGGGGGTGTGTCCTTTGTGGTAGAGAACTTAAAAAGAGGTGAGTCACTGAAGGCCGTGTGGCTGAGTGGTGGTGGTGCTAGACTCATATTCTGATGATCCCAGGCCCTCCATCCTTCTATGCCCTGGATTTTTTTTTCAGTTGCTCAAGTTCAACTTTACAGTATCTGTGTCCAGTTTGTTTGTATTGGCCTTGAATGGCCCTATAGGGATTAGTGGTCAATTATTATCAGCATAAACTGATCCTCAAAAATTACCACCAAGAGACTATAAACTAACCTCTTGTCTGAGTAAACTTTTTGTGAAATGCTGCAAAACTCAGCAGCACATAGTGTCTGGACACACCCATTCATATCCTGGTGCCATTTGCTTACCAAGCAAACCAGAATTGTCATGGCCGCATGCACGCATTCTATTCAGTGTGTGGGCGTGTTACGCGTGAAATAAATTATATGTATCTGTCTAATAACCATCTCCTGAACTATTTGCCAATTGTTGTGCTTTTTTTCAACAGCTATAACTTTAGTGTGTAATTTTCGTACCGTTGCTGGTGGTCTTCTAACGGTTAACAGTGGCATGGCTCTGCAAAAGTGCTCTACTCGCCAGGACTACCAGGAGACCTTTGAAAAAGTTGTATTACCTTCATCCAACAAGCTGATTGAGATCAGTAATGGTTCTATACGCTTCACGGTAGAATCTGAGAATTTGATTGCTTTGAAGGAGTTATGGGAGATCTACAAAGATGGAACATTGCAGAGTCGTCTTCAAGAATTCCTAGTCACTGATGAAATTAAGCAACTTGCGAATGGAGAAGACATTGAAGTGACAGTGTTCATTGATGAACACGAGTATAACGAAGCCTTTTTCAATTTGTTTTTACTTCATCAAGGTATGCTTGTAATGATAAAAGGTAGTCATATGCCATGTAGATAGTGGCTTGTATTAGGAAAGTTTCCTCGTACATGTCTAAATTTAAATGTAATTTACAAGTGCGTTCTAATTGACTAGGTTAATTCGGGCAGTTCTGGTGCTACATCAGGCAAACTGAGTAATAAGTAAGAACCAATCCGGATACACTCTTCCTTATTGAAACCGTTATATCCATGGTCAAATTTCTGAATTAGTTGTCGCTGGCCCAAAGAAGCACCTGAATTATTGATCAGCTGATTAGTGACCGTCAACAACATATGCAAATGAAATCTGAAATTTCGGAACAGGGCGTGTTTCTTTTTTAAATGATCTGTGTGATCGGTCATCGCCAAATTATTGCCGGCATTTGAAATGTCGCAATAACGTTACAGTTGACGTCTTTGAGTTCTCGAGCAGTCTGGTGGCGTCTTTCCCTCATTTTTTTTGTAGTGCTTATTTTCCAGCTTTCCTCCATCCCTTCCTTCCCTTCCCTCCCCTCCCTCCCCTCCCTCCCCTCCCTCCCCTTCCTCCCTTCCCTCCCCTCCCTCTATTTTCCTGACACGTACAAGCCAGAGTTTACAGAAGCCTGGATTAAGGCCTCATGGCTGGGTTGCTCAAGAACATTAATCGTAATTTTATACATGGTTTAAAATTTAGACAGCATTTTACCATCAACGAATCTTTCTTGTAAAGGATCAATCAACTTCAAATGAAAATACATTCTAATTGTTCTTGTTGGTTAATTCTTCCTTTAGCGCCAAATGTTTAACAGGAGGAACGGCCTGGACGAAGAACTCGAAGGAATTCTGACTCTTTTCTTTGCGTCAAATCCAATGAGAATGAGATAGGCTCGATGAAGCCAATGGAGGAAACAGAAGACAAATGGGGGGAAGAGAAAAAAATGCTTGAATTAAGGATCGTAGAGCTTGAGGAAACTTTGAAGGCGGAAAGGACGAGAGATCTGGATCGTAAGCATTTAAGTACCTCATTACACTTAATTTATTTTTGCAAAATGTATAGGGGATCACTGGTAAAATAGTGGGTAGCGTAAATTTCTTGCAAACATACAACTGTCGTATTGCATTAGAAATACTTTTCATGTCCTTTCCACGAATTGGGTCAATTGATTCTTCCTGGGACAGAAAACCAGGTGAAACATAGCGGAAGCATCTATTTAACCAAATTCAAATAAATGTTAACTTAATCTGGGCCATAGGTGAGTGATACCGTTGTTACCGTAAGCAAGCGTGATGTAGAACCAGCCTTAAGCAAACTGAAACATTGTTTGCTGTGGTTAACTTGTAAGTGCTGTCGCTCTTTCTTAGGTCCATGACTAGCAATTGATTTCAGCCTACTGTCATGGTGTTCAGTTGATCTTAGAAAATAAGGAAGTCATCATACATCACAGAACTTTCGTTTCATAAAGTTTTATAAAAATAATTACGAGAAAAAAAACGTCAAATGTCATGCACAGTAGGAATAGATTCTGGAACTTGAACCATTATTAGAAAAGTAAAATTATGTTTTATACCTGTTTTACCTCAGTCAGCTTACTTACACTGCTTGTTTTGCGAAACGCCTTATGCTAATTCATTCGGGTAACAAGAACAACAGCAATAAAAATCGCCAGCTTCATCGTTTTTAGCGAAGGAGGGAACAACGTGAGAATTTTTGAACGCCTTTTGTTTTGAACAGTTTATTTTGAACAATCCGTTGTTATTCGAATGAACTGAAAGAAATTTTTATAGTTATATGTCAAAATTCATTTAACGTAACTGAGCACACACGAACCTTTAGTTACCTTTAGTTACTAACGTTACAGTTGACGTCTTTGAGTTCTCGAGCAGTCTGGTGGCGTCTTTCCCTCATTTTTTTTGTAGTGCTTATTTTCCAGCTTTCCTCCCTTCCCTCCCCTCCCTCCCCTCCCTCCCCTTCCTCCCCTTCCTCCCTTCCCTCCCCTCCCTCTATTTTCCTGACACGTACATAGCCAGAGTTTACAGAAGCCTGGATTAAGGCCTCATGGCTGGGTTGCTCAAGAACATTAATCGTAATTTTATACATGGTTTAAAATTTAGACAGCATTTTACCATCAACGAATCTTTCTTGTAAAGGATCAATCAACTTCAAATGAAAATACATTCTAATTGTTCTTGTTGGTTAATTCTTCCTTTAGCGCCAAATGTTGAACAGGAGGAACGGCCTGGACGAAGAACTCGAAGGAATTCTGACTCTTTTCTTTGCGTCAAACCCAATGAGAATGAGATAGGCTTGATGAAGCCAATGGAGGAAACAGAAGGCAAATGGGGGGAAGAGAAAAAAATGCTTGAATTAAGGATCGTAGAGCTTGAGGAAACTTTGAAGGCGGAAAGGACGAGAGATCTGGATCGTAAGCATTTAAGTACCTCATTACACTTAATTTATTTTTGCAAAATGTATAGGGGATCACTGGTAAAATAGTAGGTAGCGTAAGAAGAGCCATCGTTGTAAGTGTACACGTTTCGTACTCCCCTTTTCCTCCCATTTGTACAGAGTCTAAAAGGACAAAGGAGACCTAGGCACTAGCATAATCTCCTCCGGATAACGTCTGTCTCACCTACGCATTACTAGTAGGCCAATCTTCCTCACTACCCAAAAATAGAAAATACTCTTTAACCTCGAGGCGTTCCACTCGACTCAACGTTTTGATTATTTCATGGATTTCCTTGAACGGACGAAATGATAGTATAGTAAAGATCTGTTCATTGAATCAGATGTAAAACTAAAATCCCATTAAGCTGTGCACCTGTGAAATTTAGAGACGTAAGAACCAATTGGATTCACTCATTTTCTGTTTGAAACAATTTTATCCATAATCATATTTCTGAGTTAGTTTGCTGGCCCAAAGAAGCTCCGGAATTATTGATCAGCTGATTAGTGACCGTCGACAACACATAAAAAAACAAATCTGAAATTTCGAATTTTTTCTTATGACCTGTGTGATCGTAATGATCCAGGCCAGGTCGCTGTAATTGACCGACAATTTAATAAAGTCAACCGTCGTGAACTTCGCGGCGTTTCCTGGTGATCGGTCATCGCCATATTATTGTAGACTCATGCAGAACGTCGCAATTACGTTACAGTTGACGTCTTTGAGTTCTCGAGAAGTTTGGTGGCGTCTGTTCCTCATTAATTCGTAGCGATTATTTTCAAACGTTTCTCCACCCCTCCCCTCCTTTTTAGAGTTTACAGAAGCCTGGATTGAGAGCTCATGGCTGGGTTGCTCAAGAACATTAATCGTAATTTTATACACCCGGAAAACCAGGTGAAACATAGCGGAAGCATCTTTTTTAACCAAATTCAAATAAAAGTTAATGTAATCGGGGCTATAGGTGA